TTTGTTTAAATTAGCACTCGCCCTCCTCTTTGTTGCCATCAAATGCCTGTCTAAGTGTTCAATTTTCTCCATTCTAGCTGACCAAGGCACAAACTTTATGGTTGCACCCGAAATGCCTTTAAACGTAAGTCCAAAGCAATCCATTTCTCTGTCTCAAAAAGCGTCCACAAAGCACGACAATACCAAAAAGACTTTACCATCTACCACTGTCAGCAATCGGTTGACATTACAAAGGCAACCAACTGCAAGTGTTAGGTTTGTGAAGAAGACCGTAGTGGCCAAAGCAGAGCACAAGAAAGGAAGCAAGAAAATTTCTCAAGAGAAACAAATGAAAATCGTGCATAATCTTGATGGCAGGATGGGTAAGATATTCTTTTTAAATATATGATTCCTGCTTCCTTCTTTACCTTGTAGGTAAAGAAGTAACCAATGCTTTCACGGTTATCATCAAGAACTAACTTTTATTTGCAAATGATCAACAATTTTTACTTCAATCCATTTTAAGGAAATTGGTCACTTTTGCTGGTCAGTTTTTTATTGCGATTTTAAAGTTAACGCAGCCTAAGCAACCTTCTTCCGTTTTCTAAGGTGAGACTGTGAACAAATATTGTCACTTTGGTATTTTTAAGGACGTTTTCAGAATTAATCAAATAAGCGACATGAAAATTGCTCAGCATGTTTCAAAACAAAGTCCCAAAAATACAGTTTGGTCACGTCCAAAGGTTTTAAAGGCGCAACCGAGTCTGTCCGAGTCTGCACGCAGGCTACAACCTGCACGCTCAAGGCAACCGCCGCTAAGCATGCCGGTTGCGCAAGAGCCTTTAACATACTTGTTCTCGTTCAAAAAGTGCAAAAGCTGGATTTGCATTTAATTGTGAGTGTCATTTTCTGCCTAGTTGCCGCTTTCATATTTATATTCAAGCTTTCTTCGTATATCTCTTTGTCATTGGATGTCAATTTACTTGGATATATTTAGGGATAAGTGCATCTATTTCATACCAGTATCCTCAGTCCCAAGGCACGCATTGTCACTTTTTTTAAGGCCTAGGCCTCAGCATTCATAATTTTTCTCTTTAAAAACTAGCCAATTACATTATAGGAGATTGTCCCAACCCTGAGAAATTACGATGTATCAAATTACTGTTATCGTATGCTTGCAAAGAGGACTCGGACTGTGGTACAGGACTGTCATGTTGTCCAACAAAATGCGAATATGGACCCAAGATGTGCGTCCAAAAAGGTTCGTTCAAATGATCATTTAACCTAATTTTTGAACATTGCCGTTCTGGGTTTTTTGTTGTATCTTTATGACTCTATGAAAAGGTTTTTGCAATTGAAAAGTTGCTTTTTACTGTTGGAGTAAACGTCCTATATGTTCAAGACATTACCTTTCAAGACAATATATTAAATAAAGTCACTGATAGAAAGAGCAATATTTGATAGTTAGAAATATATCATAAATCAATGTATTTACATAGCAATAGCAATGGGAATTTTTTGAAGCTCATTCACATTTTTCTTTGTTCTAGTTACTCGACATTGTCCTCTAAGAGACCCATACTATTTTCCAAACATTGCTTGCAAAAGTGAACTCGACTGTCCTGGAAGGGCTCCTTGCTGCAGAGACATGGCTGGTGCACGCTACTGCCGACCTCCAAAAGTCAAAATCCTAAACAGATTGCAAGATGAATGATGCCTCGTGTTAGAACATCCGATGAGTTAAACTTGCAACTATATTTGGTTGTCTAGGATCTCAAATACGTTGTGCTTACCATGCCTGTCGCTATTGCAAAACAAGAAGGAGTAGAATCTGGCCCTAGATGGAAAATAAAAAATAGAAGATGGAAAATAGTTCCCTGCTCTTGTTTAAGTTCTTTTTATATAACATTAAGCAGTCAATAATCTCAGGACTAGCATTTCAATGACTTAAAAGGCAAAGCAAGTTCAGAGAAACTAGAGTGATTTCGGCCATAATACGTGTTAGGCGGTCATATCAAAGGACCTTGATTCCTATTTGAATTTTTCACCCTTAGGAAGAAACCAATAATGGCCGGCTTTTACACAAGTTTTTATATTTTGCTCTCCTATCATAGACATTGTTTGGTATACCTGGTAACGTAACTAAACTAGAAATCTGACCCCAAGGACTTTGTTAATTTCATTCTAATGCCTACATCGTCAACATTGTATCTTCGGAGTCTTCTGAATTGAATGTCTTTTCAAGATTCAATTGGGAATTACCTCATTTAAAGACTATCATAACTCCGCGGCAGCCCCTACAGATATGCTTTCTGATGTCGAGCTCAAGCAACGACATTGTTGTTTTTTTTCCCTGTCAAATATCTTGTGACCATATTTTAACTTTTGACTATTTTTGTGAGCAACTAGCAGTCATATGAATGATCAGTACTGAATAATTTGAGAAGGTAACCAACATAAGAAATACTCTACCTCATCTTTAATTGTATGCTGTTATTATGGACACCCATATCCTCTACCAGCAAAAAGAATGTATCCCCCACGACAGATAATGATGGTGACAAATTTTGATTAGAAGGTTATTTACTTTCTTTACCATTGTCTTCAGGTATTGTCTTTATTTTCCCTTTTTCTCTTGTTACGACAGTCAACTTCACCCCAGAGCTTTACAATGCAAGGTAGTTAATCAGGGAACTAATTTGTAGCTTTATGTACTCAGGCTGAGGCCCTTAGGCATTTCATTACACAAGCACTGTTTAGTACTGAAGATCGACTATAGTTGTTCACAGAATAATTTAAGCATATGCTTTCTTAACGTTGACAAGTCATCAATGATTCAGTATTGGAGAATAACATTATGTAATTTAGAGAATAGGAAGACGGAATCCACAACTGAATGATAAAAAGACGTTATAAAATGTATTTCTAAACTTTAATTTTGTACTTATACTATTTATAATGTCCTTTTGACAATAATTTGTGGACTATCCACTTATGTATGCAAATATCTAACATGAAAATATAAATAAATGATAAATGATAAATAAATGATGATTAAAGAAAACAGTTATTTCCGGTTTCATTTTCTGTTGCCATTTTTAGTCTAAGCCATGAAGTCGAAAATCCGTGCATCTGCACTTTGCAGCTGTTTTTATGAAAATCTTTTTACGCAAATAGCATGCAAGAGTGGTGTCATATCATACTAAAGTATTACTTGTGAACTTTTCCTCGTGTTAATTTCGATCTGCATCTAGATACAGATTCTGCTTGCGTGTTTGGTCATCAACCGAAGCTTATACTCCGGAGGGTGTTGGACGAAGAATTTCTCAATGTGAAAATTGTTTACGAGTGTTTGGTTTTGGTGAATCATACAGATAGTGTATTTATAAGGATGGTGTTGAAGTTGGAGAGTCGTTGCATTGACTCTTTGTATGAAAGAGGAATTGCTGCTTAATGTCAGAGAAAGCAACGTTAAAAGCTAAAAGCACAAAATATATCAAGAAGCTGAAACTGTACAAACATGAACTCAAAACGAAATGCATGACAACTTACATTATGTCTATTTTAGTGTTCTTTCTTGGTATTCTACAATGCTGGACCAAAGTTAAAAAGTTTTGCTGTTGTTATCATGGACGGCAAAAGCCGCCAACCCCCTTCCCCCAATATTAATGTTGGTGTTGATTTTATAGGTTTTCTGGCTTCTACAATCAACTGCCGTTACCCACCACCAACGTTGGCATTGGGGGAGGGGGGGGGGTATACTACTGGCTTCCATGTCAAACCCTCAGGAACTCATTTATAAAAGAACTGTCTCATAACCACCTTTTGTTCAGGATTGAAGTTGCCTATAGAAATGATATTCTTAACAGTGTCAATGTATTATCATATCAGCATGGCCTATCAAACGTTTCAAATGAAATGCTACTTAATGCTTTGTTCTATGGCCATGAAAGGTTACCAATTGCTGTTAATAAAGAAATAATCAAGGTAGCTCTGAGATACATTCATGCATCCCAACGATTTCGGTGAATCGCCGCTACCCTCCCTAAAAGTGTCTTTCTTGTTTCTTTTTTTTTGTAGTTTCCGTAATCAAAGCCTGTTCCAAAAATTTACCTGGATGTATATAAACACGCAAACATGCTATTGTTGAAGTACTGTATTTTTAGTAGCGTTATGTAAATTTCTATGAGCGTAAAAAAAAGGATTTTAAAGTGTGCTGTTGAGGTTTTATAACTACGATCAATTTTCATTTCATTTTATAATATTTATACAGGTTATAAGTTTCATATCAAGGTATGTTTTCCAAACTGACCGGTTTAAACGAAAGCACTAAACTAAGAGCAAAAGAAATTAATATACGTAATTTACAATATGATATAATACAAAATCTATGCAAAGGAAGGTAAAAAAGAAATTGAAGTTATAACCCCTTCTATAGTTGTTCTTTGAAGATTTACAAGGAGGGTGCCATTTTTGTTTCTTTTTCTAGACTGTTCCAGAGCTTTACACCGCGATAATAAAAAGCCTTGTGGCCACTGATCTTTTTTAGTAACGGTATCCTAACATCAGTATCTGGTGAGCACAGAAACCGTTCTCTGTCATCTGAACATTTTATGAATAATTTTCTCAAGTAGTCAAGGGCAAATGAATTCAGACTTGTAAGTCAGCGTGGCAGTCTCTTTTCTCACAAAATTACTGATAGTTGACCAGCCAAGACTCTGAATTAGCGGAGCAGCTGAAGCATCGTATGGGCTGTCTGTTACAAGTCTTACAGCTCTATTTTGGATTTTTTGCAGGACGCTAATTTTTGATTCACTACAGCAGCCCCAAACGGAGCAACAGTAACTCAAGTGGGGCTCGTTAAATCAATGCGTTAAGTGAATAGAAACAAAGTGAAGCTGATATTGAAATAAGTTTATCCTTTGACATTTCAAATTACTCCTCAATTTCTCAAAAACTTATGTGATGGTTTTGTTTTGTCTTTGGGCGAGGCCGCTGAGGACGGTAATGTAAACGAGGCCAGCTCTTTCTTCCCAGTTTTGCGTTACAGCGACAACTGCTTGGGAAGCCTCGAAGGACATTGTCGACAGTTGTCAGTAACATTCGTTAATCGGTTTTGTAAGAACCTCATGCTGTTATTTGAAGTTTGGTTGTGTGTCTTTCTCAATTTCAACTGGAATCTACAACGAAGACAATTATCATCATCGACCGAATCATTGGCCTAGCAGCAGTTGCCAGTTAGTTGGGGCAGAACTAACGCTTTTCGAAAATGAAAGTGACCGTCAGAACTCTTGACTCAAAAAGCACAACTTTTGAAGTTGATGAAAAGGTAAGTTTTGAATGACATTGCAAATCGTTGTTGCACCAAAAACCATGTTTTTTTATTCGAAGAAATACTTTCTAGTCTCGGCCTAAATCTGGGATGTCGTTCATGTTGAAAAGTTTCCCTTTGAAGATTCAAACTCAAAAACTCAAACTCAAAATCTTTTATCAGCAAAAAACAAACATTAATTACAATATACCAAGCACTCAAAGTTAAAATACAAAAAAATTAGCAATTTCAAAAATTTAGCTAATCAAGAACAACAGATTAATTAGTATTGTTATGCTGAAGTACACATGAAAAAAACTCGTGAGGAGCCATCAAGTCACATGTCCTAATGACGTTTTAAACACAGTGTTATAATTTCCATTTCAGTTTGAAGTTATATATAACAGTAAGACTAAAAAATTAAAAAGTATAAGAAGAAAAAGTAAAGAGAAAAAATATAAAGGCAATAGGCTGGTAAATTTCACTTCTTAGGGATAGATTTAAGAAATTTTGAACAAATTCTAGTGGCTTAGGAGTTCTGTAGAGGGTATATTTTCATCATTTTTTAAAGGGATTTTTGTTGCGGGTGTTCTTAAGTTCAATTGGCAAGGAGTTCCAGAACTTAACCTCATCAAATGTTAGAAAGTCTTTTTGAAATTTGTAGAAATAGAGGTTCTGAATACCTGGTTCAGCTGGTGTCTGTTAAATCATCCTTTGCTCCTTCTTTCATCATCATGATCATCATTATAAATTATGATTGCCAATTATCAGGCCTTGAAAAAATATTTTTCTTCCTGGCAGCGAAATAAAAAATTCAAGATTTTCTGCGGAGCTTCGAGAAAATTCCAGCCACTGAAATTGATATTTCAAGTTGCTTGATTTGTTTAAAAATTTGTCCTAAAAACAAACTGTCACACTAAAAAGAACTAATTGTTGGTCCTGCTGTCTTGATCATAGCTATTCGAACAGGAATCATTTTGTTTATACTGTATTAGATGATCAAGGAAAACGTGATCAAGCACGATACTCATAGTTTGTTTTCAAGGTTGAAGAAAGTAGATAACTAGAAAATAGTTCAATGATTGTTCCGCATCAAGTTATGTTTAGGAAGACTATGAGGAATTGAGAGCTGTAACAATACTAAGGTGTTGCTGCAAGGTGGTGTTCTCTCCCGGGCCTTTTCTCTTTTCTTATGTTCTGGTTGCGTTTTTTGGGGGTTGGGGGAGCTTCACTCATGGCAGAAGAATTACAAGTGCAATCTCTATTGCGATTTTTCGTATCGTATCATAACTTATTAATTCTATAAGGCGTCGTTCCACATCCATTTGCATTGTTCCTGTTTACATTATCTAGGAAGATGTTTGTCACAAATGTTTCACTAGGATAGGATGACATTAGCAATTTTTTGTTAAAACACGAGATATAGAAAATCTCTATCAATATTCCATTGAGGACTTGAAGTCAAGAAGAATGCACTTGTATCTAAAGTAATTTTCATTAAACAAAAAAAGGTAAACAAAGCTTCGATTTAATGTGCAACTATGTTACAAGCATCCCAGAAAGTATGTCAAAGGAATGTCACAATTTTTTTAGCTCTAGGTATAAATGTCACTGTCACTGGACATGGTCCTTTTGCATTTGTCTGAATCTTCAAAGTTGTTAGTTTCATCTTTTCCACCTCCCTCAAGGAATACCATACATTAATTGGATCCCTTACAACTCTGATTTACCAAATTTTGCCATTCATTTACACTATCATCCAATTTTCCATGGTTTCATGGTACATACTTAGCCAACGGTCAATAAGCAGAAGGGCTAAGACACAGAATGCCCTTTCAAAAGCAAAAATTGAGCCAACAATAATTTTCAGTAACTAAATAGCAACACCAATGATAGGAAAATGAAACCACTTTAAAATTCTAACTTGCTGCCACAGAACTTTTAGCTTCTTGAGAAACTGTCTATTGTTGTAGGCAAGAAGTATAAATCTACTCTATTTGGGAATAAGTGGAACCAGCAAAAAGCAAATCTATCCAGAATAATCTTACGACTTCCAAAAATATCATTTTCTTCCCTGTGCTGATGAAAGCTTTATTCTGTTAGATCTTTAAAGTTCTATTGATTATTAAGAGCATGCTTAATAAAAAGCAACTAGGTTTTTTATTCAATGGTCAATATTAAGTCTTTTTTACATTCATAAGAAAGATACCCATCAAGTTAGATGAAATCATTTCAAGAAAGTTTAACAATCGTTTGCTTGTAGATGTGGCAGTTGCATGCAATGAAAAACAAGTATTTAACATGCTAGAATTTTTCTTGTTGTTTGCAAGCAAAATCTCATTTTTAGTACCCACAGACCTGAAATTTTTTGCCTGAAAATATAAAATGTAGTTGCTGTTTATCAAAACCATGAATTAGTAGCTTTTTAGAAACTCAGGCTATGCACTTCTAAATTGAACACCTTGCTAATATGAGTTCTTAAGCCAATATAGTATAGACAGTTGAATTTTTTTTTGAAGGAATTGAAATATTAAATATCCACTATTTCAGGCCACAGTGAAAGACTTCAAGGAAAAAATTGCACCTGAACTTGTAAGTATTCTTCAATTGAGGTTTTGAGTAGCATATTTAACTTTTTCATCAATTTCCATAATTGATATTAAAAATTGCTGGAAACATAGCATAATTCTGTGCCTTGCCCATCTCATATCAATAAAGCCTGGTACGCACTAGGCGATTATCATGATTATCACAATAACAATTAGGCTGTAATCGTCTTTATCCACAGCGAGTACATCAAATTGAATTGTGTTATGCCCTCTAATCATGATAAAACCACATGACTATCGCAAAATGATATCAAACATTTTTGATATCTTTCTGTGATAATTGTGATCTGATGACATCAATCCTTTTGTTCCAAAATAATGTGAAGAATTCATGAAGGAAAAGGAGTGTCCAAAGCACTGTTTCCAAGGCAAACCAAATATTGAATGACTGTCATTTAGTCATTCGGTGTGGGTTTTGTTTAGGATATCTTATCAAACATTCTGATTTCAAAATGTAGAGTGAGAACTTGCAATTTGACAAGAAACTTTCTGAAGCTGTGAGAAAATATATGTAATGAAATTGGCGGTCATCCAGTCATAGTTCTTGAACCAATCCATGATATTTGCTAATAGTTTTATTTTTGAAAATATCTCTGACCCAGAACCTTCTCTTCTTTCTCTCTCAACTTTTTACCTTTTCTTTTCTCTGTCTACGTTTTCATTTTGAGTATACATTTAACGAGTCAGTGAGTACATGATTTAGCTGAGCATCCTACTATCAAGAAATATTTAATCCTCACGATAATCGCTATCGTGGTATTGTGATAATCACCATAATCACCTAGTGAGTACCAGGCTTAAGAGAAGACAAAACCATTTGCTTTCTAGAATCTGACTTGATATTATAAGTAAGCAAGCACCTGATGCCCATAAACTTTGGTTGTTGCTATTTTTCAAATAAGAACCCATTCTATATTTTTTTTGGTTAATGGATCCAATTAAACCATTTGTTATTCACTGAAATTTTGAAAATGAAATTTTTGTCTTTTGCAAAACTATTCTAATTTTGTTTGATCCTTCAAATGCCACAGTGCTTGCTCGTTTTTACATAAAAATTTTCCCTCTCTTTTGGTGCAAAACTGCATGTAAAATAAAGCTTAATTGAAATAGATAATAGATGTACATTGAAATATAGTTTTTTCTTGTTTCTGGCAACAACACCTCAAAGAACTTCAAATATATTAAGCAGAATATGATTTGTTTTGCATGCTAAAGCTGGTGAGTCTTTTTTGGAAACATGCCAAAGAAAATGAAGAGGAAGACAAACAATATTTTTCTTTGCAGTGCTGAATATGCTCTAAGACTTCATTTAGAGTGACACTGTCTGAATTTCAGTTTAAGTTTTTTCATTGAAACAGGGAATTTCTGCTGAAAGGCAAAGGGTTATTTTCAAAGGGAAAGTACTCCACAATGAAAAGCTCCTAAAGGAATACAGTGAGTTGTAGCTTATGCTTGTAATTTTGAGCTCTTGACCCCCCTTTAGGACTGAGCATTTTATTAAGATAGTGTACTATCCTGCTTTGGTCTTCTACCTAAAATTTTGCATCAAGTCACTGAATATTCAAAAGTTAGTTTAGGTATCATCTATTGTGCTTGTATGTACATAATTTTAGTGTTTAGAATCAGTAACTTTTTTAAATTGATTTCAACAATAATTTGTCAATTCATGCTTGTAAGAAGATATGCAGCTATCAAAGTGCTAATATGTTATTGATGTATGATGGTGAATATGCTTTTGACACCACTTTCCCGCCATTGAAGGTCACTATTTCTAATCTGGAGTAAAAATATTGGCAATGAAAACTCCATCTTTTAATCAATCAATACTGTTGATCCTCAAATTAGCCACCTGAGGGCTTATTTATTTTTTATATCTTTGGATGGGGGCTTATAAAATTTTTGTAGACATTAAAAAGACATTATTGAAAGATCTCGTTTATTTTAGAATGTATTTTTGTGATAATTCAATAAAACACCAAAGGCAACCTCAGATGGCAAAAATCATCAAATTGAGGGGTCTTATTCGAGAATTTACGGTAGCAGTGGGGGTTTATTTGAGGGGGAGCTAATTGAAAATTTGTAGTTCAAGAGTGGGCTTATTTGAGGGAGGGGGGCAATTTGGGGAGTTACAGTATGTTGCTTATGTGATAATATTTCCATTTATTTTGATCAGTTTTGTTGTTTCTATCATCCATGACCTCATTGAGCGGTTAAACACAACAGTGTTCTTCCTGTTTGGTACAGTGAGCCAAATCAAATTTCACATATTTTTATTAAAAAAGATCTTTTTTTTAATATAATAAATTAAAAAGAATGTATTAGAAAATTATTTTGGTTTTGTAAGTTTTTGTATGTTTCTTACAGATGTTGATGGATGTGTTGTACATTTGGTTGAAAGGCCCCCTCCGATGTCAGGTAATTTTTTATTCAACTTTCAGATAACCTTTTTATTAATCACATAAATATCAAATGTGTCCCAATTTTTTCATCTACCCCTGTAATTCTGAAATAGTTGAAGATTGCATGAAATGCTGGAAACATAGCATACTAAAGTACTTTTCGGCTGACACTCCCCAGAGTATGAACAATGGATGATGACAAAACGTACGCTGGGAAGTTATATCCAGGTGTGCATCAAAGTAATGTTAGTGGAAGAAAGATGTGTTTGATTGGTTATCTTGAATTACCAATCAGCAGCCGCTAACCTCTCACCAAATTTAAGACTCCAAGAGAGAAAAAAACCCTTTCTGTACCTCTCATTGCTTCTAAATTTCTGTTTTTTGTGCTACAAAACTTTTTTTATTAATATAGTATATTATTTTTGACTTAAGATCTTTGGGATCTTGTTATTTTGCATTATCTCTGTTGTGGTGAGTGCTTTTGCAGAATGCAAACACAGAAAATTTATTATGTTGAATTCTTTTGAATGTGGTATTCTTTTGAGTGTGTCACCTCATGCTTGGAGCAGCATTAGGATATCTGTTGGAGCATTGTTTTAATACTCAGGTGTAAAGTCATCATAATGAAGATGTTCCACTGAATTTAATTAGTTTAATAACATTATAGCTGAGTCACATAAAAATTGTCCTATGCTGTCATACTACACTTGAAACACATTTGGATTAAAACAAGTTTTTATTATTTTCATTTGATCCCATATTTTAGTTCAGTACTGTTGAATCATATATGACACTTTTTTGACAGGAAAGTATGCTATATTTTATCTCCTTTGAAGGTGATTCATCAACCGCTGAAGCAAGGCCTACGAATAGCTCAAACAGAAGACCACAAAATGGTGGACAGTCAAATGTCTTTATTGGGGCTTTTCAAGGTGGAAGGGATGAAATGGGCAATGCCACGTCGGTACGTAATGCTATGAATTGAAGTCTAGCAATGCTGTAGTTTCCTGTGTTCATGTATTATATTTCAGCATAGATGCATTTGTTGGTTACTCTGTACAAGTTTATGCTTGGTTTAATTAGAGGAAGGTCTCAGGGTCTCAAGTACCAAGAGGCCATCTTCTTGTATATTAACCTTGGCTTGATATGGCTCAGTCATTCTGCAGCCTAGCAGTATTAGAAATGAACAGTCAGATATGCAGCTTTTGAATAAATAAACAAATAGATGTATACGTGAAATGACATATTTATGTCAAAATACTAGATTTATTTGTTTTTTCTTGTATAGATGGGTGATTTCTACTTGCCCCAAATTGTTGAAAGCTTGATGTCTTCGTTTGGAGGCGGTGATGGAGCAGCCACGGTGTCTACAACTTCAGTGGTAATGCTAATTTTTTCAGAATTTCTATGTTTCAATTTCTAAATACTTTGTTATATTTAATTATATGAGTCTTTCTTAAGAAGGATGGGGGTATAAAATAGGCGTTGACATAATGTAGATTTGAAAGTGACCTGCATGTCAGATATACAGGCCTGTCGAGAGCCAGCTTTTGTCCTGGGGTTTTAAACAACACTGGCCCTTGTGCAGGAGTAGTAGCGCAGGGGCTAGAGGGGTTTCAGCCCCACTAAAATATCATTCAGATTCCCCGTCAAGAGTCCCAAAAAATCATTTATAATAAAGTTTTCATTTATAATAACAAAGAAGACTTATGGCCAGCAGAACACTTTTGGCAGTATCCTTTCTTACCCAAGAAATTTGGTACATTGTGAAGTAAAAATCTTTGTCCACAGGGCGATGCAACCGCTGTTAATGTTCAGATCAACATGCATTCGGATGGCCAGGTAAGAGCAAAGATGGAGAAAGCTTTACCTCTTTGCGAGGATACACAACAAGAAAATCTTTCTTTTTGTTATTTTATCCTTTTTTCTTGCAATATTGGTTTTTAGCCTGCTGCAGAATACACTTTCATGTTCCATTTCCATGGTTCCATTTTGAGAGTTTTTGTTAAAAGTACAAATAATGATAGTGATGGTCTATTTGCTGGACCGTATCAATTAGCTCTAGACACGGGAGCATTGATTGAAATCATATGGGTTATTTTCTCCTTCCGTTTCCATTTCGGCTCTGTTTTTTTCCTTTCTCTTACGAAGTCCTTTCTCTAATCCTTCTCTTCCTTGCTTGTTTCTTTAAACTGCCTATGTTTTATTTCCCTCCTTTCTTGTTCCTTTTAACCGCTCTTCGTTGCAAAGCTAATTCACGGAAGTTTCCATCCCAAGACAAAAAGTATATATACACAATTTAATCCCGTTAAGTCAGACCTTTATGCCGCAATAAATATGGTCCTACTCGACCAATGTCAGACGTCACTGCTACGACTGTTGACTTGAATGGAAAAATCCAATGGGAATCGAAAATCTGTCCGACTTATTGAATTTCCGATTTATCTGGGGTACGACTTCATCCGGATTCAACTTTATCTATGAAATTCCGGCTACTGGTGCATAACATGCTAGGCGAGACTTCATACCTTATCCAGTGACAAGTAAAACTAATATCAGAAAACTGGGTGATATTTGGGTATCAGTACGTTAATCTTTTTAACTTAAAAAGGGATGAATATGTTGCATCTATGCTAAATTAAAATATTGACTATTCATCCATTGACCTAAATTCACATCATCTTTTGTTTTGACCAGCTCTGTAAACTTAAAGAGCATTTTTTCTGTCGCTTGAATGTGGAGAAACATCGTGTGTTCTTCTCATCAATTGTGATCTACTTTTCAGGATTTAGCATTGTATGTATGTTTGTATGTATGTATCTTTGTATGTATGTATGAAGGTATGTGTGTATGTATTTTTGATGCCTCCTTTACCTCTTTACCTATCTTGATGTGTTTGTAAATGTTATAAGAGCATTTATGTACTTTTATATATGGTTTACAATGTACTTTCAGCACACACACACAACAGATGCCCAGATGAGACTAAGGCATGCACAGAATTTCATCAGAACTGCACAAAGCCGCATTGATGCACTTGAAGTAAGTCGATTACCAATTGATATTAATGTAGCTTTGATAACAGTCAGCTAGCTTTACATAATGTTGTATCCCAGTTTAAGGGCAGATTTGGTACAATTCCCTACTGTAAAGCCCTATTCTTGGTAATCCTAGTTAAAATCGATTTTTTGTAAGCACTACACTTGAGCAAAAAACACAGATTTTATTTGTTCAGAAGTATGCCTTGTTTGGAGAAAAGCGTCATCATTTCTCCCAAAAACTCGATAAATCAGATCGTTTTCTCTCTTCACACTCTGGTGAATCAGTTACAAAAATTCACATGTGATTGAATGCTCATTTTCATCTTTTTTTCTCGTGTTGTTCTTTTTCTCCATCCGTGTAATTACCCTTTGCGTGATATTTCTGTAGAATATTTTCTTCATTCATATTCCTCCTGAGCGAGTTATTTTAAATTTTTACAATTATCTTTATTTTCATCCTGTCTTAATCTTCTCTGTCTTAATTTTCAACTACAAAAGTATTACGTTTTTAAAGAGATGTAAGAAGTATTGTAAGAATATGCTAGATGAATATCTCCCATTCTTTTTTAACCCTTATTCCTTTGTAACACTTTAGACGGCAGCGTCGTCTAGCATGGAGATTGATCAAGACCCAGCAGTGCAGCCTGGAACAAATGAACCTGGAAGCGATAGTCAGTTCAACCTTACGTACGTAGAAAATCACCTGATTACCGTCAAGAATATGCTATGGTACTTCTAAAGCTGTATAGTAAGCTAAGCTCCCTTGCCATATTTTTCTTTGAGGTCAATGTTTTTGTTTTGTCTTAGGAATTCGCCACAGTCATTTTCAAGGGTGATTCGTAATTTCCAGAATTTGTATCAACGTTTGGAACCATCACTGAGTCGCTACAGAGAACTGCTTGAAAACCCTGCTTCAGAGGTAGAATACGTCAATTTTTTGCTTATCTTTGACGTCCTTGGCGTAAGCGATGCATAAAAGACGTAGCTATGTGGTGTTGTTATATCGAAATCATTATCTTTTTTGTAAGGACAGTCCTGTCCGTAATCGAGCCATCTATAAACTTTGTTGTATAGTGTTTTAAGGCGTTTAAGGCAGAATTTATTTTTTGTATCATTGTTAATCAAATTTTCATATTTGTACTTAAGCGTCCAAACACACCACGTTGTGCTAGAACCATGTTTTCAGCTGGCAGTATTCGCTTTTTCACAATTTTAATTTTTGCTTCGGTTAAGGTGTAAGATTTAATCTAAAATTCAAAATTTCTTTTTAGATGCGACGAACATCAGATGATGTATTACCTGATGGAATAGCAGAGATTCTTCACAACATGAGCCACGCACTCCATGCTTTATCTGACGTCACTTTCAACTTCCAGTCCCCAGACCCTCAGAGGCTAAGCTGTTTGCCACGGATGAACCCCGTTTCTGTTCCGCCTCCTTCACATTCTCATCCACCAAGATCAAATGCTCCCCCGTCAAGCTCAAATGCTCCCCCGTCAAGCTCAAATGCTCCCCCGTCAAGTTCAAGTACTCAACCGCCGAATTCAAATACTCAAACTGAATCGACCGCAGCAACAACATCTTCTGGTCCTAGGAATGGTGGCCAGCCATTCGTTCAGTTCAGTTCTTTTGTCCAGAATCTCGGTCAGCAAAGTGGGTTGGGTAATGTGTCAAGTTCGAATGCACAAAGTCAACCAAGCAGACCCATCATAACACCTCAGGTTTAGTATAGATTTGAAACTTGTTACGGCTTGTGGTAGCATAATTTTGCTCATGATCTTAATTAGAAGGTCTTTGGTTCATCCAGTTTTCGAAGATTGTTATTATGCTTCGCTTCTGTTGCAATGAAAATCAACTTTGCTGTCCTACCAAGCTCATCTAGATCATAAGGACAGGATCTTTGTATGCCTTTATCTTTTCCTATTCATAAACCTGTCGTCTAACAAACAAGTTAATTTCCTTTTCATGAATACAAAAATATTTTTATGCTAATTTTTTTACCACCCGTAATGTCATAAGTTTAATATTTTGCATTCGCTAGTAGATTTTTTTAAATGTCTGTACCATAAACTTAAACTGCTTTCTGGTGCCTCCTTTGAACTTCCCTAAATATCTTTATGGTCATACCCAAACCAGGTAGTCCGGCCTATTGGTGTTTCGGCCACAGTCATACAGATTCCAACGCATCTTCGCACTGTACGGACTGCCGCCTCGCAGCAGCATTCAAGTGTCTCAATGGGAACTACTACAGCCACGCCAAATGTTTCATCGACTCCGTCCGCACGTACATCGACCGGGACTACTTTTTCTTCCGGCTCCTTTTCATCTGGGTCATTTTCGCCAATGGATTTTGCAAGCATGTTTAGTGCAGCGACCAGCCAGGCATCACATTCAACGTCAACTTCATCAACACAGACTAGACCTAACCCTTCCCAGCGACCAATGGCCACACCTCATCTTCCCAGGTTGCCATTTGGTCTTGACGCTTTTAACTCAAACTCGGTCATTGGCCATCCTGATCCAGCTGTCCCATGCCAGTCGTTTCACTTCGGTCCTCGGTTTCAACAAGGCGGTGAAGCTACAGGCAGGCCACAGATCGTTGCTGAACTAAGTAGTGTCGTTATTGAACACATTCACAATGGAATGCCTACAAATGCCCCTGCAACAAGCGCGGCTTCTACAACTTCTACTCCAGGTAATTGCACAACCGTATATTTGTACGTCAATATTTTCATACTGAATTGTTGTTTGATTGATAAGCGGGCAGTTTTTACCAAACTTGATGTACGCATCTATCGTTGTCAAGCTTGAACGTGTACGAGAAAAATGTTTTAATGGATTACCTCAGTTTGTTATTTACAATTTGCCAAATCAAGATATATTATTAACTAAACGGGTTAAAGGGTAACCATGATATGCATATCGTGTCCTGTCAGTCATTCATTTATACCCAACATCATTTCTAATTTACTTAGACTACCATTTGTAGAATCCTCATTATTACCGCTTTATTCATTTTGCATTGAACTACGATATGCTTTTTATTTAAAACTACCACCAAATTTTGTCTTAAATTGACTCTAAGATTCATCCATGAAACTGGCCGACTTCATTAGGACCGCATCATAGTTTTGTTATACCTCGCATAACCACCATGTACGTCATCGTAAAGCATCTTGTTTGTAATGTTCCGTCTAGTAGATGTAAATTTAATTCTTTTGTAGTATTCTTATATTCTTCTGTGTATTTTTATGTAATGGGTGGGTCGGGAGAGAGGTGCTGCATGCTTGGGAAGTCGTGGTGGGGCCACACACTCGATAATAATCCCTCAAGTGAGGCCTGGGACACAATTTTTATAGCATTGTTTAAATTAGCATCCAATTATGTGTGTCGGTTGGTGACTCTCATGTGCGGCTTTGCGGGCGGGTGGTGCCTCTTCCTGATTCACCTGGTAGTTTTTACTCTTTCTATGTTTATTTGCCACGGGGTTGTCATGGTCTATTGCTCCCCGTGGCATCAACGTCCCTGTGGTGTTTGTGAAGTAATTATTAGGTAGCGTAATAGGTAACTTGTCTTGTAAATTTTTAGTGGAATATAAAAAAATTGTCTTGACGAAGCTTAGTAATCTGCGTGGCACACGCTGAAAGAACAATTGTTCATGTGTTGATTTGATTTGATTTGATTTGATTTGATTTGATTTGATTTGATTTGATTTGATTTGATTTGATTTGATTTGATTTGATTTGATTTGATTTGATTTGATTTGATTAAAAGCTTCTGCTGGCAACAGAGGAGGTCAGGCATCGTCTGTATTTCATGGAATGACGTCAGCACAGCCATCAAGCCGCACTTCGGGTCAAGTACCAAGCAATCAGAGCCAGCCTTCTCAACAACAAACGCAACAATCAGATGTAAATCAAATTTAATTCTTTGATTTCTCACTTTATTTTGCATCGACTTCTGTTTATTTTCAACCTATTTATGAATTGATACAACAAGGACGCCTAACATTCTTTCTTTCTTTGCCCCAAGAAATCTCAGTGACTTAAAACCCTAAATAACTTCTGCTTTCGAACTTTTTTGGCGAATTTCTTTTACCATGGGTGAATTCCTTACTAGGTTCTTCAAATATCTTTAAACTCACTATCAAAAAGGGAGTATCACTTGAACGTCTGAATTTTTGTATTTATCTTCGTGATACAGGATGCAGCGTTTGGGCCTCGGATTTATGAAGTTGTGCAACGTGCTATTATGAATGCTCTAATGGGGCAAAGCCAAGGTACCCTTTAAGAACTTTACTACCCTTTTCTCTTACTCACAGATCGGTTTTTTGTATGTCTTGTATGTCACCTCCATTATTTTTTTTGGGGGACGAGTCTAAATTCCTATTGTTTATGGCCATTAGTCTATTCATTTTTCTGAACCAATGAGAAAATTTTCTTATCATTAGCATTTATCAAAACTATTATATACCATAGTTGCATGTTTAAACCAGACCCTTGTTCTCACACTTCTCATGAAACTCTTTTCACCATATTTTCGTCTTTGGATTTGAGACAGGCTACTTTCCTTAAAGTCTACGAACGTCCAACCACAAAACATTGCGTGTGAAAATAACGACATTGACCTTAACAGCGCCTGTGCATAATATGCAAACTTTTGAAAATCCAACGGTCCTTCAGACAAATGCTGGCTCGTCTCCCCAACAATTATTGACCAATTTATTAATAATCTATATTTGCATGCAGACAGGCGAAATGGCCCCACAATAAGAGATCTTATTGGCGAAGAATTTCGAGATTTACAGAGTTCGGATGAAAGCCAGTCAAGTAGGAACTTTTCTGCTAAATATATTTGTCTTTTTGTGCCAACGCTTTAATGTCATTTTTGTTATCTATTTCAGTTAGCTTGTAAAGCAGACAGCTTTGACGTTAAATTATTTATTTATTTATCTTAGAATTTGTGGGGCAATATAAAATGCTATAATATGATAAATTGAAACTTGAGGAAATCTATGATTAATGGATAATTGTTTATGCTGGAACTCAAATCGCCAATAAGCAAATATTTCTGCGTTTCAAATACCCAGACCCAAGGATGCAATGTAGGCTTTCACCTCCCACAGTTGATCGATGAAGTTAGTAATAGATTTGGAAAGATTTTTCATAAAGTAGAGTAAACGGCCCTTAAGATAAGCATATAAAGAAACTAGTTTTGCAGAAGAAGATTCTTGATTCCCTTGATAATGCCATGTCTTGATCTGTTCACGTTTGTGCCATATTTCTGTTACTTTTTCTTCTAGACATCTAGAAGTCTGTCGTGAAAAGTCCATATTTTCTTTGTTTGTAGTTTGATAATCAAACCCGCTACCTACGTTTTCTGCATGTATCATTTTAAATTTTGTGTTGAGACTTAAATTTTTCACCCAACAAATAAATTCACAAAAATAAATTTTTACGCTTTGTCGCATTAATCGTGAAACTTAGACTTGCAACTTGGAACCTTTCTGTTCTGTACACCGAGTCATGCACAGCTTTGCCTATACAGTATCGAACACTTAATGATATTCAAAGGAAAATAGTTATTTTTATTAAATTTGTTTCAGGTGATTTCATCTCACAGCTGTTAGACCACTTGTCAGATCACATGACTGTTGATGACATCATAGAGCTTGCTGCCGGTAAGCCTATCTATTGGCATTTTGCTTGACTCATTGCTATTTAACTAAATTATTGTATGGCTGTTGCTTGAGAAAGCGTTTGTAGAGTTTAAAATTTTCCAAATCAGAATTGGCCCCTTTTTGAAGCATGTTTTAAAGTTACTTATTGTAGCCCTTATTACTTATATTTTTCCCAACGGCCCAGTTTGGCAGAAAATGATGACGCGTGACATGGATATTTATTTGTGTAAAAAGATGAATATATGTATCAAAAATATATTATGAATATAACTATAAAGACATATGAATATATGTCTTTATAATTATAGAGCTTGCGCATAAAACTGCATAAATATTGTGCATGACCTTTTCTTCAGCAAGAAGGATGGCAAAGTTAAAGTTAGACGATTCTTTCTTCGCTTAGGCTCGTCATTGCGTCCATTAAGACGGCTGGCCCCTCACATAAGACAATTCATAGAAACGAGATTCAATAGCGGAGAACCACTCACGCGGAGCAATGTCCCGGTAGGTATCCAGCGTTTTTCCTCTTTTCTTTCATCTTCCCTTTGTCAAAACTCGTTCCAATGAACGACCTTATTTTTAAACATTATGTAAATTATGTATACAGAACTGCATTCGCAACCATAAGCTCATCCTATAAGATTTCCTGTTGTAATCGCTCGTAGTTTAAATCTTGTTTCATCGACAGCTGACTAACATGGTAGCCTGATGAATTTTTTTCTCAAAGTTCCATACTACAAATTTTCGGCAAAAAATATAAGAATCGTTTAAAGAATTATTCTTTATTTATTTCCCATATTGAATTGTCACTGCAGTGCAATTAAGAACAATTTCAAGCTAAAATGGAAACAGTGAATATATATGAAATGTGTTAAACAATTAAAATATCTAATATGTTAATGATTACTATGATATTTATTTTCTATGTGATTGTTATTTCAAAGCTAATTTCGCCAAGGAAAAGCTATCTGATAGAGAGAAGATAAAAGCATTTGTTTCTAATTATGTACAATTCGTTATCCGTTTAGATATTTTACAATTTCACTAGAGGCTTGGTTGTATTTAAAGTCATACCTTTATAGTTTGAAGTATTTCATTTTGCCATGATTTAATCTTATGTTTATCTGGCAATTGTAATTTGTTAGTATTATATTCATATGCTTGATTATGCACTGAACAATTTTATCAAAAATCAATGTTTTGCAGCGAGTTGTAGACACAATCATGGGAAGTGGCCTACGCATTACGACAGAAGCTGTGGTGAGATCAATTACACTTAAAATTATTAAAGTTTATTATTTCCTTTGAGTCCATAAATTTCTCGTTGGCTCTAAACGAATTTGCTTCAAGTTTTTTCCCTGTATTTCTGTAATGCTTCTTTCAAATTTTTTCAATCTTTTATTTCTTACTTTTGCATGTTGTTCTTGTCCATTACTGTTGTTCTTAATCGTGTCTCCTTTTCTCTCTAATTAACGCACCAGGCTATAGGCATTCATTCGTTCAGAGCAGCATCTAAGTGGTCTGTTGGTCGCTAGCCATTCTTTCCACCAAGCCCTATCGTTATACCAACTCTTTTAGATCATCTATCCATATTCTTCTTTGTCCTCTACGAGATTTTCTACCTGGAAGAAACCCCTCCATGATGTTACAAATACCGTGCCACTTGATTCTCTGGCAACATGCTCAGAAAGCGCAGCTTCCCTTTTTGCTGTAGTCTTTTATTTGGATTGCAACTTCTTGTTTTGTTTTGGTTGTTAGGCTTTGATTTGGTATAGGCAGGCACATTAAAAGAATACCATTTTATTCCATATTTAAAGAGGTATCAGGCGATAATTTAATCGAATTTTCAGGCGACTCTTACTGTTCGACCCGACATTGATCTGGAAGCCACAATATTTCGACTGGATAAAGAGGTTCTAAATGATGCTCTGATTTCACTGTTAGATTATGGTGAGTTAATTCTTGTTTTGCATAATTGATAAATTCTAATACTGTAACCAACAAATAAGCTTATTACAGGGTTAAACGTGAAAAGTATCAAATGGGTTTCTGCTACTCGCTTGACTAGGGGTATTTGCAAGTCTGCCGTTGTGTGGCATCCAATCATTGTTGTTATAAACTCTCATTGATGATTTTCCTCAAACAAGTTTGTTATTCAAATGAACTATTTTCCCCACACTATCATTTAGCTGACAAACATTTCAGTATCAATTTGTTTAATGATTGTCACAATTTCTGCATTAAACTTTCATTTTTTAACCAGACATGTAAGTCATTGCTTTGAACTAGACAATGCTCAAGTTGCCTAATTCCTTTTTTCAGACTGATAAAATTTTGTTTTGAGATATTTGTCAAAATACCAACTTTCGTTCATTTAATAATTTCATTTTGTTTCAGATAGAGGAGATTTCCCGGATGAGTTTGCCAACCTTTTCTACCGATACCTGGCTATATCTATTGCTGTACTTGACAACTGTGTCGAAGGCAACGCTGAAGCGTACATAAATGCTGTTGCCGGATCTGAACGGGTATGGACATTTGATCAAATCATTTGATGTCGATAACATGAAAAGGGTTTATTTTGTTTTGCGTGTTTATCCACACACATCCTACCCTGGCTCTAGTTTGACAAATTCTGACGATCGAGAATTCTGAAGCCAGAGACCATTCATTTCTTTCATTCATTTTGTAATTTGCCTCAGTAATATTTGTCAATAATACTTTTCTTTACGTCCTGACGTACAATTTGGAACAATTTAGGACTTAGAAGAATCAATTTTGCAGGAAAAATGTCACAGTTTTTGTTTTGCATAGAAATTTAGACAGAAACACAAAGTTTTTATTTATAAAACATTGTCCTTTTGCCTTGCTAGATAGCGTCTGCCCTTTTAATTATTGATTCATATAACTGCATTTTTGTGATGATTCTTTCTGGTTGGTCATTCTAATTCTTCCCAAATTTTCAAAATCTGCTGTTATTTATAGTTATCCCTGTTAATGAGGAATTTTAGAGTTTTTGCTTTCCCTTAAAAGTTCCTGAAATATACTGCTGCCCTCTGTGTACACAAACAACAAACTTCAAATATTATAAATATATATATATATATTGAATATTTATATATTTATATATGTTATTATATTTATATAAATATTTTATATATTTATTATTTATATATTGAATTACTTAGGTGGACATGGGTTTATTCGCAGTCCTTCTTTACCTCATTGCTTCCGTCAAATTTTCCTTGCCTCGAAATCATGATCTTTCCAATTCCGAATAACGATAGTGAGTAGATTGCTGTGTTGGAATTCTTTCACCTGGCGGGGCAGGCTGAGGATTACTGGTTTTCTTGCTGAGATTCCTCCCATCTTCGCATTTCACAATCGCCAATTTAGTTTCTTTTATTTATTTGAGCAAGATGCTTTAACGATGCTCGATATTGGCGTTAACGTTGAATGATATAGCGGCTCTCAATACGAATGCAGTTGTTTTCTGAGATTAAAATGCTATGGTTTTTTCTTTAGCTTCTAACAACAATGAGGATGCTGAACTCGGTCAACCCGGAAATGAGAAACTTTTGCATTGACTTCATGATTAGCAAACTAAGAAGCGCCGCAGCAAATGCCCCTCGCGTTACGGAGGAGGAAGTCCGAAGGCGTTGTATTAAGAAGGTGGACAAAAACAAAGAAGCATCATCCAGCGTATGTTATTTAAATGTTTTATACGAACAAAGAATACGTTAACTAGTGAACTAACGCCTTCCATTATGACTTTTTCTAAGAATATCGAGCTTAGTCCTAATGTTGATATCTGCTGAATGCGCGATTGGGAGATAAGACGGTCAGAAATTGTAGAAGACCTGACACTTGAATTTTCCAGCCAATATATGAGAAATATCTTGTCATCTTGTCAGCTATTATCACATTTATACCATCTAGATCTTTTACACAAATCGCAACATTTGAAGTAAAACTAAGGGGAGCGAAAAACAACGACAGCCCCGCGGACATAACCATAGAAATTAAGCAAAAAAGAAATACGTGAATGAGGCCTTGACATTTTTTCCTATCGAGGTGAAGTACAAAAATGTGAAACAAAATTGCTGAGTGAGGATGAACCACATTAGCAGCATCTTAAAATACATATTTACTTTCGACATGAGTTTTAAATCTTCAGAACTGACCTTTGCACATTATTTCATTTTATTATTTTGCTAATAACTACAGGAGCCCTTGTTTAAATTTTCCCGTTTTCACTTTATAACGGATTCAGTTTCCTAATCAGATATAATTTGCTAATCCGGGTCTGTAGTGTCGTGAAATAATTTGTATATATTGTCTTAAGTTTATTATTGTAAAAGTTTTTATTGAAAATGCGATTCAATTTACAAAAATCTCTGAACCATACATTGGCTGTACATAGGGACATATAATCGTTTGTTCCGACCTGTCCTCATTAGCCGGTCCTATTTTCCAGAAACCTATTATTAATGTTTTAGCTTCAGTGTAACCATTGAGATCTCTTAACCACCTTTTTATCGTTTGAAGGTATCTGACACTTTACCGCGCGCTTCTGGCCCTGTGGACGAGAAAATGGATGTAGAAAAGAGATGGAATGAGCTTTATGGAAATCGCAACGCAGATTCAAGTGATGACGAAGGCGACGCATCAACTTCTCAACCTCACGAATGGCATAGACACGTTCCGCCGGTGAGTTATTTTCCTCGTCTATTTGTGCCGTTCTGCCGTCTTGCGGCTCTGTTTTGCATCTGTGTCAGGGAAATATCTCTGCTTGTTTAACACCCTGTAAGTTTTGGATATGCTTCTATTTATCCAGTCTGTTAACCAAACACAATACACTCAGAGGTTATTTATTCAATCAATAGCACCCACTTTGCTGTGACAGGGTTAAATTTTTGTCCAGGCAGCGGAGAAAAGTGCCCGTCTCAACAGGACCGTCCAGCCTTTTAGTTTTATACCCCTGTAATCTGCACCAAACCATACATCAAGCTTATTGTAGAAATCTTTGTGATATGTGAAACAAATTCACCCCATGTTTTGAATTATTTTCCCAATCCAACAATTGATGAGATGTAAGAATCAAAGAACTGCGTTCACTGCAGGCAGAAGAGCAGAAGATCCACTGAAATTCTCTTATGACCATTGTCCTATAAAGGACTCCTTTTTTGGAATGCGGCAATGATTAAATTTTAAAGGTTTTCGAGCTTTGCGGCTTCTGAGAAGCAAATCAACTGCTTGAATGGCTCTTAATTTACTTTTTTAATAGTTAATAAGGATATTGTGCACATTTTTGGTAAAACGTTTCTAAAGTGTTTACGGATTTAGAAATAAAACATTTTAAATTTATGTATTTTAAATTTTTGTTAAGAACTAGCTGATGGTTTAAGATTTTATATCGTTTAAAAAAGTATCAAATTATTCGATATTAACATGGTTATTAATATACATGTGAGGCATGTAACATTTCCTAGTTTGTAATTCAATTTGGTAAACCAAGAGTGATTCGCTGGTTGATGACTTATAAGTTAAATACCTTTTCTCCTTCTCTTTACACTTGTAACCTTGTGTGTTATTCTCTTCACCGTTGGTAACTGATGGTTTAATCCGTTGATATAGGAGTGGATTGCTGTTATAACAAAAGATGCCAAAAGGCAAAGATCTAAGACGCCCCAGAGACCGTTTAGCGATGCCTATTGCAGCGGCCTTCCTGCAAAAAGAAGGAAGGTTTGTTCATTTCCTTTATTTAATTGTTTTTTAATGAGCAACGAGATGGTTACAGTGGCATTGGAATTCTAAGTCAATTTTATCTATTTTGCTTTGTTCATTCTTTTTTCAAATTTCTTGCTAATACACAATCAAGTATTGATTGTACTACATGACTTTGCAAGTTTTCTGAATTCCAAGTTATGGCTTTCCGTTAAAAGCAGTCTGTCCCATCCATGATTGGCTAATATGAACAATTGGTTTACCTGCCTTAACGGATTACGCTGTTTGCTTTGGCTGGCCTAGCTGCGGCAGTGGACGACATTTGAAACTGCGCGCGAAGAGGCTATCGGAAGTGGCAAGGAGATTTAACTGCTGGGATTGAATGATGATAATGAAAGCATTTCTTTTCCCTGATGACTTATCTGTAGTAGAAACCAAACAGGGAACCAAATTTCTCGAGCCACAGCTTCGCTTCAACGGCTGTGACCATTTGATTCAAAAGCTCTGGAATCAAAGTTGTCTCTGATTGGTTTGAATCGTTTAATTATCGATTAAGGTCAAAGGTGCATGTATTTTACTTCAGTGAAGATAAAATTTGAGCGCAATAGGGGATAGACTGATTTAAACGTTTGTTCGGATTCTACGCCAATTTCTAGACAGAAGTTGATCTCTTCAGCGATGTAACTGAGCCAATTCAACGACCTTTTAAACAATTCTATGCTACCGTATCTTGTGTCATGGACATAAGTAAAAATAAAGATTTGATGTGCGATATTTTGATTAACTATGAGACAGTTACCTGTGGTCATTTATAAAATCATCTTCAGAAATCAGAAAACTTGTGCTTTGTTTTGTAATAACGTATTCATTTCTCAATCAAATTAGTGACATCCATAATGATATAGGTTTAACTTGCCAGGCTGTTAAACCGGATGAAGATAGTCAAATCGACTTCAATGTTGCCCTGCAGAATTCAATCAAATCAGCTAAAGTTGAACCCAAAACAAGTCTTTCTGGTACGTATACCTTTGTACATTATTAACGTTCGGAGGCTTGCAAAGTAAAAAGATCATGACGTTTTGAGCCCACAAAATATGGAGGTCATGTGACCACGAATCGAAAGGAACGCCAAGGATATCGACAGAAACCAAACTGCCATTCCTAAACCCCCGCAAACTTCGACTGTAAGTCCGCCAATGCATCTATGGTTCTATCAGAAAACGATCGTAAGGGAAGCCAATGAAAACGAAAAAAAAATTGGGCCACATCCAAACTCTGCCTTCTTTTCATTTCGATAAAAGTTTTCAGAGCTTGAAAGAAATAAGCTTTTTTCGGGATAAGCACTTTTCTTGAGGCTTAGAGTCTTTTTCAGGCGAATCCTCTTTTTCACTGTCTTGAATACAATAAATGTGTTCGTCTTACATTCTAGCATAAAATTTTTAATGTTGCTAGTATTCGTTTTAAAAGTGGCTCAGAAAGCAATCACATAGCCCACAGTCATCCAGATGATCACTTTTATGCCTGCGCATAATATTCGTTAATAAGTTTCATTTTTATTTTACAAAATCAGTTGCCGTTCTATTGGATTTTTCATCGTTTACGTGTGTTATTCCCACTAAAATGAATTTCTTTTCATTTCATCAGTGATTGTACAATCAAAAGTACGGCCTATTATAGCGTGTCATTCCTTTTACATGCAGTGTTTAGAAAAACGTGCATTATTTGTCAAAAACAAGGGTGGGACTTAGGTATAAGTAGTACTCTAATTGCCCCCCCCCCCTTGTTTTTTGACAGCGATTGCCATGTCCCTGGGGCTCTCTCTACAATTTACTCAATGTCCTATGGATTATTTCGTACAATGCGTTATTTACCATTTTTTGCAATCTTGGAACACTACAGTACGGAAAACCCCTCTTCTGTTCTCTAAATCTTCCATTATAATGTGATTTGATCCGTATATGTATGTCCTACCACTATCCTTTGCAGATCTATCAAAAGATTTAGATAGTGAAGAACTTCGGGCTTCATTCCAAGAGACTCTAAGAAAAGATACGCGGAAGCGACTTGAAAAAGATCCAGATTACAAACCAGAAAAATTCCCAAATAGCGATGAGTACTTTTTCCCTGATAAGTAATTACTTTTATAGTTTTAAATTCTGTGACACTTAATCTACGGTAATTTAACCTGGCCTAAGATAATTCAAGTCAGCTAAAGTTTTTGTAAATTGTTTGGTCAGATTCTTTAAGTAAGCTTTCAAACAGTTTGTTGGTTTTTTGGATCAGCTATTAGTGTTGTTAAGAGTTTTTTTAGTGAGTGAAAGAGGGATGAGTTCAACGAGAAATGAAGTGTCGTCTGTGGCCATTGTTTAATACATTTTAAAACAATTATAAACTGGCATTCCGACTGGGCCTCGTCCAGTTATTGATGGTCATGATCCTTCCTGCTTTATGATTGAATATGTGTTGCGTTGATCTTACGTTCAAGATGTTGAAGATAACAAAGACATGCCACTAAGAGTTAAGAATTCTCCAAGTAACTTTTGAAGTAAAAAAACCATAGCTGAATAAGGAAAGAAAAGGATGATCAAGTCTTGCTGTGAAAATTTTGACCAGAATTTCTAATGTAAGGGTGTAGAGATTGAAACGAATTGTGGTCAGCCGGAAAATCCGGCTAGAATTCGCAAATCCGATTCCGGCCGGATTTTAGAAATTTTTTACCAATTTTGCCGGATGTTTTAATATGCTAACGTAAAAAATATGAGAGAATCAGCCCAAAGCAAAGTGTAAAAAAGCGTCAAACTAATATGTAGGGTTCAAAAGTTTTGAAAGGTTATGGTTTGAAAATAGTTTCTGTGGATACGCAGGATGCTGACGTCGATCGAAAACCATTCAGTTACTTTTGCAACACGAGAGAATGTTGCTCGGTTTCGTTTCCACCACAAAAAGGATATTCAGTGATCCCCACCGCAGACATATTGAGATAGCCTTCCTTTTTCAAGAGATTGTCAAGAAGTAGTACTTCATGTGAGGAGTATTTTCACATTTCCACGTTTCGCCATCTTCCTTATAACAAGAAATTTAATATGGATTTCTTCTTGAGTGTGTCTAGTTTTTTCGTTGAATTTGAGAAGCCAGCATCTACATTTTTTTAAATGTTAGCGTTTGATGGCTCAGTTTATGTCGGAATATGTTGTATTATATGACGTTGGTTAACACAGATCTCATCATCACCAACTGTCACAAATTTAAGAGATCCGCTTGGAGATCTGGTGAAATATGATAATGCTATCTTTTCATGAATTGGTGAATTGCGAAAAAAGCTTTAAATTACTACGAAGGTTGAACATAGTTATAAAATCATAAGGTGATATTGAAGATAATATAACAAGAAACAAGGAAACAATAGCAAAAAGTGTCAAGCATCCGGCGAAACCCTGTCGGATTTTCCAAACCATGACCGGAAAATCTGGTTCCGACCGGATATTGAAAACTGCATCCGTAATCAGGTGCATCCGTAATGGGAAGCACGTACCCTAAAATTTGAAGTGTAGCTTGCTTCAAAAGGTTGTAGAATTTTTTTACATATTTGCGAAACTTTCTTTGAAGATTAAACTAACTTTCGTCTGCTTTTTTAAATTTGCAAGAACTGGTTTAGCTTTGATGTAATTCGATGGTGCATCACGGTACAATGAACACAAAATAGAGTTCCGAAGTGTATCAAAAGCATATTTTTAAATTTTCTTACTTTTACGACATAACCTGAAAGAACGTCATGAAATGCCTCTAGATGTTGAAAATCGCTCAAATATATTAATAATTGGGTGAGATATGGTCAATGAAAGATGACTGTTATTTTGGCTTGTTTCATGAAGCTATTAACAGAGGCCAAATTACAGTGATTTGATGAGGAAACAGCCTGGTCCTAATGCGACCTAATGCGACCATATCCCAGCAAATTTGCAACACTTTAACGATTCGCACATTTAGAGGTATTTCATGATGCTATTTCAGGCTATGTGATGCAAATTGAAAATTAGACAAAGTTTATTCTTGTGACGTCATCACTTTAGAAACTATTCTATAAACACGAATTATTCTCAAATATTTCTCCTAGTACGCAGATCTTAAGAGATTAGTTAGCGGTCTTTGTGCCAGATAACGCAAACCATCCACTGTTCGAATTGCTTCGTTGCTTGTTTGACTAAGCATTTCTATGAAGTTACTGAAGAAAATTTGTGTAGAAAAGCTTCATGGCACTAAATGTGCATTTACAAGAAAACTTTGAATTGTGGAACAAATTATCGCACGTGAAATGCGTGTATGCGAACACCGTTATTTGCCATTGGTTTCAAGACGGCAAGCGTGTTTCTTAGGAAATTAATAATCTGCTGTCAAAATATTTCTGTGCGCTACGGCTCTGTTGAAAATGAATTAAACAGATATTGTTTGGGTTCAAATTACATAGTTTGCCCTTTTTATAAATAGACGGTTTGTAGAACGGATCGGGCCTAATTTATTTTGTACAAAAGACAAACTAAGGAGGATGTACTGATGTTTTGTTTTCCCTGATCGAGAAAATTCGGCATTAACTTTAGCTTTCTTTGCACTAAAATGGCCAGTAATGGAAGGGCTGTCATTCTGCTGTAGCACCTGGCGTTTTGTTTATTTAGCATTTAATCGCGATTGTTGATAGTGATAAAAAGCAATTTAATCAATCAATGGAATGGTCAGGCATACTTGCGTCAACGTGAAAAGAGTTCCCTAGGCATAATTCCAGTCATGGACATGTTTAATACTGTTTCGTCATTTTTTAATTGACTCGGACTTTCCACTGTCCCCTAAAGGTGCTGTGGTTTATGTATAGATTTTCAGAGGCTACTCTAGGCTTTCCTTTGAATAAAGAATACAAGCTACCCTTGTTTTGATAACTGTACTCCTCATCTTCATGGGTATATTATTTCTCTAATGATGTCATGCCCAGGCTTAAACCTAATGAGTGTTGCTCCACCCCCTCGCAAGCAATGACAAAACGAGGTTTTTGAATTTGATCATATTACATACCCTTTGGTCATATTGTTGGAAAATGTTCGTTTCGAGGCACGATCGCGCTAATTGATCCTTCATTAGATAACGCACTTGGTTTCCTAAACTGTAGCAGCCTTTATTCTTGGCTGTTTGACTGCCTGTTTTTGCTTTCGTATTTTGTCGTCAATAATTCGATTCTCGTCCTATCCTTTTCGTGCGTTAGCTGGTTTTGCCAGCTTTATTTCTTAATTGCTCGCGTGCATCATTTCGCCTGTCGTTGGTGTATTTAAGCTGCATTTGTCCCGCTCACTACCTAACGGCGCCTCGTATACAGTATGCTTTTTTCTTTCTTTTTTAAAAGTTGGTACAATATCTAGCTACACTAAAGCTAATAAAAACTAACAAATGCAGATTACGATCAAACAATACAATTCATGTTTGCAGATGTCATAAGTATAATTGAACAATGAAACATATCCGTGGCACAGGGCAAACCACATATAAACCACAATTTCTAATGCTAGAACTAGATTGACTGACGTGGTTTGAGACAAAATTAAGGACATCAGAAGAACTTTTCTCTTGCTGGTTTTGAAAAGGTAGCAGGACTGATAGTGATGAAGGCTCCTATTGGTTATAAGTATATGTGGTAAAACTAATTCGCTTTCAAAAATCAGCTTTCTAGTGCAACCTAGCTTTCTGGCACTCTTCAGAGTTTAAAACGTGGGAACATAGATCGAAAACTGCGCTAAGTTGTGGATCGAAATAGGCCAATCATAAACGCAAGCACATGACTTTTGAGGTTTTCGATCTGAGTTCCGACGTTTTATACTCCGAAGAGGGTCAGACCAAAAGCTTTAGCATGATTCAGAATGTTTGCTTTTTTCAAGGTTATTTTTAAGTTTTGTACCACAAAAAGATTGTTTGCAAAAGGTAAACTCCAAATCGAGTCATGTTCATAAATGGGAAATACTTGAATTTGACAATACTTAAAATTTCAAACGTAAGTAGCCGTTGAAAGTAAAAAGTTTCTGATTTTCATAAGATTCTAATTTTCATTTTAGTACAGAAAAAGTTTGAAGTAAAATAGCTACGATTCATTTTCTCGTTATGAATACTGCATTGCCATCGCAACGTGATCTGCAAGCCGCACAGACAAGAAAATTCTTATCAGTCGTTTGTATGCAGGATAACGAATGATAGATTTCTTGACCTTTTAAACGCGAGTTACGAAGTTCGTCATTCACTTTTATTTTGCAACAATGAATCCTCTTTCAACAAATCTTCCTTAATTTTCAAATTTCATAGGCGACTGTTAATCAAGTGAAATTTTTTATCACATGGAGGTATCGAGATGTAAGGCTTTTTTACATGCAGATAAATATTAAACTAGACTGTTACTGAGGCAGAAATTCGTGATAAAGTATGAATGCGAAAAATGATTTCGAAAGATGCAGAAAATCGCGTTAAAGTGAAAATTTATGTAGATGACCTCGTACTTTCCTCGCTAAACGTATTGTCAGATGTGAAAAGTCTTGGCTTGGTTCAAGCGATACCAGGGATTGCCTTGGTGCCACTGGGTGAAATCGTTTCCGTGGTGTAGCTATAATGCGTTGATATCAAATTGCTTACAGTATCATTCTTGGCAAATACTTTATAATTCCCTTCATAAAGAGTATAGAACCTCTGAATATTCTAATAGAACTTCTTGGGTATGTTGATGATTAAGAAATTCTTGCCAAAATCATCATGTTTTTAACGCGAGCAATATTTTGAAATAATTGCAACCAACGAAGAGAAGTTTAATCTTGATGATGAGCGCAGTTTTGGAGCACCTTTGCTAACGATTCCAGTGAAGATGGTGATAAAAATGATATAACTTGGGAAACAAGCAGCAGTAATGCGCAAGCATCAAACAAGGAAGTGTTATCAAAGCCAGGAAAACATCATATAGATGGCGTAGATGTGAGCCTACGGAGAAAGCTTTCCGGATCCACCTGAGGTCATTCCAAGCCCTTTAGAATATTTTCAATCATTTTTTGATAAAAAGCTGATATCAAGAATTGTTGAACAAACAAACTTATACTCAGCCCAACAAACAGGAAAGTCTGTGAAGACAGATTCAGATGAAATTGAAAAATTCATTAGTATCCTTATTATGAAGGGACTCCTCCATTTCCCTCAGTATTGCATGTACTGTGCTTCTGGGACAAGGATTGCTGCAATCTCAGACAGTATGAGTGTTAATCGTTTTGAAAACCTGAATTGCCATAAAACTTGTTGTCTATTGTCTATTCTTGAGAAATGTCACAAGATTCCATTTGAAGAAAAGAATTAAATTGATGAACAGATAATACCAACTAAAGCAAGGTCATCCATCAAGCAATATCTGCCTAAAAAGCCAAATAAACGGGGGTTCAAAGTGTGGGCTAGAGCTGGCATAAGTAGTATCATTTGTGACTTTGAGATTTACACAGGAAAGGAGAATGATAGGAAGACTAGGGACTTTGGGGCCACAGGTAGCTTGGTCTTGAGGCTTTGTAAAGGAATACCTCATGACCAAGGCTATAAAGTTTTTTTTGACAACATCTTCACGTCTATTGAGCTAGTTATAGAGCTGAAGTCAAGAAGCATTTGATCTGCAGGAACAATACGTACAAATCGTTTGAAAGGAGCACAGGAAAATCTAAAAAGTGACAAGGAACTCAAGAAAGAAGGTAAAGGTGCAGCTGACTATCAAGTAGATGCCAATAGTAATGCTGTGATAGTAAGATGGTACGACAATGGCATTGTTCAATTGGTCTTAACATATTTAGACATTGATATGGGACAGCAAGTTCGTCAGCAGCTGCAAAGAAGCATATTGAAATTCAGTGTCTAGATGTTGTCCGAGTTTATAATGCAAACATGGGAGGTGTAGATCTCTGTGACATGTTGTTGGCACTTTATAGGACAACACTTGGAACCAAAAAGTGGTATATGCATATAGTTTATCACTGCATTGGCTTCAGCATTGTGAATTCGTGGCTGTGTTATCGCTGTCACTGTGATCAAAAGAGGGTCCCAAAGAAAGAAATTCTAAGCCTGTTACACTTTGAGACAAGAGTTGCCAATGGCCTGTTGTTTGTAAACAAAGCAAATACACCCCTACTCGAGGTCGACCTAAAAGTTGCAGATCTGATGGTAATATGGAAGTTGCCAGAAAAAGGTACAAGAGGTCAAACCCTGTCTCCCCTTCAGAGATACGAGAAGATGATGTTGGTCATTTTCCAGTTTTTGGAGAAACACAAGGAAGATGTAAGAACGGTGGATTCTCAAGAATCAAATGTTGCGAATGCAATGTAAAGCTTTGCCTTGTGAAAAATGAGAACTGTTTTTAGGACTACCATCACTGACTTACCGCCACTAAAACCCAAAGACTGCCTTCTGATCTTGTGAAAAGAAATATATCGTTGCATTGAGTGTGATTGTCAGTTTCAGATTATATTTTGCATTTCCGTAGCATGCTGAAAATGCTCTTTTCATCACATTTCCAATGACTTTCTTGAAGAATGACTCCAATTTCTCCAATTATTACTCAAATTTTTTGTCAGGCATGAAAAAAGTCAAGATTTTGGGTTTATTTTACTCTAAAACATTATGGTTACTATCTGGTGATGATTATAAATGAAACAGGATACAAATTACAATAATTGTTTTTCAATTTTCTTTATATTTCAAGACATTGCAATACATTTTCTTCATAATGTTGTTGTCCAACGACAATTTAGAAATAAGAAAAAAAAGCTGTTTTCTTTGTATTTTTTGCTTAAATAAGAGTGGAATAAAGCCATTTCACCAAAAATATTTATTTTACTCAAGAAACAAAATTCATGAAGGAAAAGCTTCGCCAAAGACTTTTTAAGTCAACTTCCTCAAGCAATGTCGTTTTCAAAAAGAATGCCTATAACTATCGCATTATGTAGTAATTTCAATCTTACGAAACCGATTTGAAAATTCCACTATTTTATAAAACGTTGCATCTCGTTCCGCCCAGCAGTTCTATTTTTGAAGGAAGTTTTTGGTCGAAGAAATTTTTTTATTATCTAAAAATATTCTGTCACAATTACAACTGGTGATAAAATATCTTTCTCCTTTTTGCTAAAGTTGGTAGTCAGATTTTCGTTTGTGATAAATGCAGCGTCACAGTGAAGTCATCTTTGAGTTTTTGTTCTTATTGTGATTCCTTCAATATTGTTGAAGCTATTTAGGAACCTCGCGTGCACACAAACTTTGATTGCCAGATGTTCATATCAACAAATGACATTACTACCTGCTGAAACTGGGTAAAGACATAAATTGATGCTGATTGGACCAGCAGTCAGTCATTTCTTCAGTTGTGCTATGCGCTAGCTTTGAACGCACCTTGAGCGAGCTTTAAGTGCCTATTTTTGCAAGATGTCGTTGCCAAAAGCAGCTTTTATTCTCTGTAAGTATTCGAAACGTTTTTTCCGTCTCCTTAGTTTCTTTTATGAATTTTTCATACTGATTGCTCGTTTTTTCAAAAAAGTCAGAATTACTACTGATATTAAGTTCTATGGCATGATTGATTTTAACTTCCCATGGCTTATAAACGGAGATATAATGTTATCAAGAGGCTTTGTCTTTCCTAGGTGAAGATACAATTTATTCTATAACCAGTTTTTGTTTCGATACATGTTCTACATTTACTATCTGACATTCAACACGACTATACAAATCGCCATACAGAAATACGTTACATTACCACTACCAGAGTAGATGCTGGAGATAGAACAACGTAAATTAACAGATCTTTGCAGTTGGAATACTCGCAAGAATTGCTTAGATTATCTTCCCAACTCTGCAATGTTGAATCATATCAGAGTTTCTTTGCAATTCAACCAATCTCTAGTCAATAATGAGTCTGGAGAATCGTGACATTGCTATTAGATAAACTGCGAAAGTATTATATGTTGATTATATTATTGGCAATCCTACTTCCACGTAGATTGTTTTATGATATCTTCCTGTCATGTTTTATTTTTTAGCCATGCTCTTTGCAATAAGCCAAGCAAGTGTAGTCGAATTATCACCGCAGGAGAAGCTGCTTGAAAAATTTTTTGGCAAAAGCAGACGAATGGGTGAAGTGATTCCTAAGATTAACCAGACAGATAATAAACCGATCACTCTGCATACTGGTATAATTATTTCCCATATTTACGACATTGTAAGTTCTTTTTGTTTTTATAAAAATAAAATTATATTTTCCATGGTCTTATTCATAACAAGATACATCTCTCCCTAGAATACCCACCCAAGTGCAGAAAACAACCCCTTTTGTACAGTGAAAGAGCCGGCGCACAAAATGGGATATGCACTGTCGGTGATACATTGGCACTGACTTGGCATTGAGATAAACTGCTCATCTTTTCCCTTGTTGTCTGGCTCCTTGGCTCGGTCAATCGTGCCCTTACTCTTCCTTTATTGTACAGAGGAAAAGCGATTTACAGGCTACTTTTGTTCAATATTCCACCTTTTGTTCAATATTCCTAATTTGTTCTGGCCTTTAGATTTCTTTGGCCGTTTTTTGACTTAGATGGTTCCAAACGTCAATAAACATGAAAATATTTTCCGTAAGAAGACATTGAGTATTTTGCAAGACAATGCTCGTAAGACCGAAGCAAATTTTCTAAGGCTTTTTGAAAATGCGATTCTTCTTTAAAAAGATCTTTTATTCTCAAAGTGTCAGCAAGTGTATGACACAAGTTTAAAATGCTCCTTTTAAAGATGTATTGTGCTGAATAGATATCTTATGTGCATTCTTGCAACTACATCCGAAAACTTTGATAAATACAGTGCCGAGCTCCCTGCTTCAGATTGATTACAGCTAAAGTCACGAAAACCTGATTCTGATATTTAACAAGGTCGTCCATGGCTTTAGATAGATTAGATTTATTGTCATAAATTGCTAAACTAGATAATAATTTGCAAAAATAGATAATAATTTTGATCAAGAAACATAAAGCAACATTTGATGAAGTTAATGTTACGACAGAACTCTAAGATTGCCTAATTAAACATGTAAGGGGGTAGGAAAGTAGTAAACAAGGGGATAGGTGGGCAAATTACCAAGTAAGTGGATCAGTATAGCAAAAAGTAAGTAGAAAAGTATGTATATGGATATATGACTATTTAGCAACGTTATAAAGTATATAGGAAAATAACTTGATAGGTGTCTTGAGTCGGTAAGTTCGTAATTCAGTAAATAAGCGGGTAAATAAGAAGTTAAGAAGAAAAGTAGGTCTTAAAGTAATTAGGAAAAAGAACAAGTAAAGTAGCTTGTAGGTTATAAGAAATTTCAAGCTGTATGATAATGCATGAGACAGTTTTTACCATAACCAGAAAAGGAAGGAAAAATCTAGTGGTTTGGTTTCTATACAATTGAGTAACTAAACAAGAGATAGCCAAGTAAACAAGCAAGGAAGACGATACATGGGCAAACCAGCAAGAAGATTAAGATAATGCAGCTCTAGGCTGTCTGCATGAGCAGAAGAAAATGATGTGTTGCTATCCCTTGATCAAAGATCTAATGAGAATCTAAATATAACACTCTAAGAATTTTTCTGTTATCCAGCTGCAGACAGTTGTTCAGTAAGCGACATATTCAGTTTAGCATAATGATAACTGCGTGAAGTTAGACATATGGCCTTCATCAGCCAATTTGAGTCGTATGTATGGAATCAGCTGATTACCAATCAAGTAATTGAAAGCCTTAAAACAGTGGTGGCGCTGTAGCCTGATGCATCTCAAAATGAATCAACAATGGCGACCAGTTTTTCACGACAATCAAACACAATCCTCAACGTGCAACGAGCAATCCTCATTACTTAACAGTGGGAGGGAAATTGAAGTAATCAGTTTGACTTTATGCCTGCATACAGGCCCAAAGCAAGAGCAGCTGTTGTTTAATAGCTTGATGAGCAATCAAACTAGCTTAGATCACAAGCCTAAACATGCTAATCGACTAATCAGTTATATAAATTTTCTTGTTTTTGCTAATTTGCTCCCAAACATCAGCTTTTAGTTCGCAATATATTTAAACTTTGATTACACGCCAAAGGGAAACTCCGATCGCCGTAAATGAATAAATTCAGATAAAACAACCTTTCGTTCACAAAGGCGTTGATGGAAATTACGCTGATGGGTTGATGGGAATTGCTCATCGATTTTTCTTACAGATTGTTATATGATGTATGCTCCTTTTTTCATCGCAGTCATTAAATTCCTTATTTTACTCATTCTTCCAATTTAATGTTTAAAAAATTGAAAAGGTAAAAGTTGATATGAGAATTGCGCACCAATTGCAGCTTGTGCTTTAAATAGTTACCTGTTGTATTTTTTATGATTACACAGTCTTGTAATTCATAAAATACCGTTTTGATTGTCATACGACTTTATAAAACCGCCTCATTTTCGGTAAGCATTTAAACTTTACCTTGTAAGCTATTATGTCTTATTTTATTCAGCCATTATTTGTGCCCCCTTAGAAATTGCAATGTCTTTGAGTGCTTGGTTTTGTTGATGACCTCAATTTTACGTGGTATTTCCACAGTTTAAGGCTAGGCAGAATTTTTGCAATGATTCCAATAAGGGCCAGACTACAGTCTTTATATTCAAACGCTTCTGGAAAAGCATCTACCTTGTGGCTTCTTTTTATTTCGCGCTTCAATAAAAATAACCCGAGCAGTTATTTGAATTTTTTAAACTTTTTAACTAGCATCGCAAGGACACTTCGAAACTTTTATACTATATCAAGGTTCTGATCCTTGCTGTAGACGTGACCAAATCTTGCGGTCGCCCTGCTCCTTGGCCCATGCCCGCGTCGTGACCACATTTTGTGGTCGCCATGGTTTTTGCTCTCGATATTTCCTGGTTGCTCTGACTCCGCTTTGGATATGATCTTATTCTGTGATCGCTCTGTGACCCTTTCTTTCCATATGGCCTCGTCTTTTGATCGCCCCGATCTTCACTGTCGATTAGACCTCATCAAGTGGTCGCCGTGACTCACACCCTCGATATGACCTCATGTTTTGGTCGCCCTGATCCTCGCTGTCGAAAAGACCTCATATTCTGCTTGCCATTATTCGTGCTCTCGATATGACCTCATTCCTGGCTGTGCTGACCCTCGCTCTAGACATAATCCCGTCTTGTTGTCGCTATGGTTTTTGTTCTATATGACGTCTTCTGGCCTTGTGGTTCTTACGCCTGAAAGTTCATATCTCTTATGACAAAGAATCTTGAGCGAAAGTTTTGACAGAGTAAGTCGTATGACAGAGTATGTCCCGTCTCTTGCAGTGCTAGTCAACTAAACAAAACCTGTATACTAAAAGAGCGCTTATCTTCATATCGAAAACCCGTTTGTTTTAAACTGTGTTCGCATACTCGAATTCATCAATAGTTATATTGCCTCCTTGCATCGCTCAAAGTTAAAGCAGACTGGGCAACCACAACAAGATCAAAACGTAGCCCTAATTTCACTTTTGCCATTTCATTACACACCCGTTTGTCTGAGAAATTAGAGATCCTATTAATGTCGTGTCAATAAACCCTAGCCAGAGGATAGCTCAGGTTTGAGAAGGGACCGTCCGATCACTTATCAAAGTGTTGATTGAGGATACGAAATCCCTACTTTTCTGTGAGCCTCGATATACGATATTTTTGTCATCACAGAACTTTGTTCCTTTTTAATTGTAGAAATCAAACGAAGAAGAAATCGATCTTGGCATCTGGATATCCTTTGTGAGTTGCATTTTTGAAGACAAACCGACTTTTTTCAATAGTTCAACAGTTTTTTGCGGCTGTCCTTTTGCCCCATTCATCCCCTCGCTAAGCATAGTACCGATGTAGAAGCTAATGAAATTCCAGAAAGAACGAATTTGACATTTCCCTTTCTCTCGAATCACGTTTACTCATCGCTCCAAACACAGCTGTTTTTTGTGAATTTAAGCATTAACTGTTTATTTTTCAATATTTTTTCAAGGAAGCCATTCGTTATGAATTTATTCCCTTTTGGCGCTAGTTTTTGTAATCGTATTTGTGTTGTTAATCTTCAAAAGTAAGAAAAGATATCTTTTGCATTAGTGAACGCAAATTTTCTGTGGTCGTTTGCGTTGAAGAACGAATCGAAGATTTGCTGCAAATTTTCAATTTGCCTTGTTAATTTGGACACTGTAGTGGTTTATTTTAAAGTATACACTGATTCTGTCACTATTTAAACTTTAATGGCATTGAGTAAAGTCAATCTCATCCCCTTCCTAAATACTGATTGTAATTTCTAAGTGAATTTAATCAATCAAATTGTCCCATCCTATTTTCAGAAGTCTGCAATTTTTTTCGTTTGTTGTGTTATACAAAGGTTATTTACTGAAGTTTTTTCCTTTCACTAGCAACATTCATTAAAGTGTTTTTCAAAAGATGAAATACCTAGCCCTTTTGTTTCTGTAAATGTCTTTTCATTTTCCCATATTTTAGCAATGGAAAAACCAGTTGGTACAGTGGAACACATCGGAATATGCTGTCAATAGGCTAGAGGTTGACCTTGATAAGTTATGGATTCCGAAGATTTTTCTTGTCCAGAAGTAAGGCATCCCATTTGACAATTAATCGTCTTTTATGCCTTTTAACGCAGCAAGCCTTGGGCATATATTTTTAGTCTTAGGTTTGGTTTGTGTGTCGCATTTTTTGTCCCGTCGAATCAAAATATGGTGAAAAAAGACTTGGTGTGAATTAAATGCCACTTTGATGCGACGTATAGAAACCAAATTTAAATTCCAATCGACGTTTTGTTGCTTCTTCGACAAAGTCGCTGCGAGGTCGCATTTAAATAGGCCGATGGTCACATTTGATTTATTTTAATTCGATGCAACAAAAGTCCGACGTATAAACCCAGCCTAGTATAGGCGTTAAATCTTGATTGGCTGCGAAAGGAGTCGCCATTTGTTTTCTCGCCAATTGAAAATTTGATTTCTCGCGATTTGGTTGGTTAAAATAGATGGGAACTCTCACTTTGGCGATTCCTTTCGCAGCCAATCAAGATTTGACGCCTATGCTACCCAGCCCAAATAATCAATTGAGTCAATAAGCAATCGAGAATGGTCTGTTATTGTCCTAAATCGATTCACGTTTTTGTTTGGTCCAATTTTATTCTCAATCCATCCACATTTGGTCTCGATCGATCTATCTCCTACCAGTTTAGAAGAAATTTTTGGATCGATTTTTTTTATGTATTTAATTTGTTGCTAATAAAGGTTGCTGGAAAACACCTATTCTTAAATGAAATTGTTATCTCTAATTGATGGCTGGAAATGAAACACAATTTTGTGCGTTTATAGTGATGTAGTCACCTGATGAGGCTGGGGACCTGATTGATTAGTTAATTATTTATCGCAATCCTCATGCGGGTATAAAACAATATTAATTTATGTTCATAAGAGCAATGAGGATTATTAATAGACAAAATGCCAAAACTAGCTTTCCGTCCATCAATCGTGAAAGAAATAAGCGATGTGCCAAAAGTATTCAGACGGTCTTGCACGTGGAATATCAGAGAAACACTTTAAAAGAATGGACCACCGAATGTTCACTCGAAGAAACAAATCAAATCTTGTGGTGCCTCGTATAAGATCAGGAACTGCCAACAAACGATTTTACTTACCAAGCTGTAAACATTGAAAACAGACTGCCACCTGATCTGAGAGATGAAGACTATATTGTGAGATTCAAGAACAGATGTAATAACTTTGATTTTTAAGAAATCTCATATTGTAATTAATAGTTTTTGCTACTTTTCGTCGAACACAGGTCCTTGATCTCTAGCAGCTGTCCTTAGCTGACCAAACAAACCTTTATAATTATTGATATTTTAATATTATTATTACTATTATTATTATTCATCAAGTGTCCTATTCTCTGATTGTCGATGAAAACAGCTCCTAGTAGTAATATGTTATGATAAGCCTTCTTCATCTTCTAATGTTTTCTCCTCCTCAGTGCCATTGCTCAGCCATTGATTCCATCAAATCGTATGGGGACTGCCATCGTATATCCAGACGGACATACCACATTGGACTTTGCAGTTATGATAAAGTTAACGTGCAATATGCCAGCTTGCCTCTTCCCTGCAGACGAGCATGCCTGCCCGCTGATTTTTAACTCAATTTCTTATGATAACAGAGATATAAAGATGGTGTACAATACGGAAATTGATAAGGCATATGGACAATTTACAAAGAGTGAAACCGGCCTATGGAAGATCATAAGAAGCAATGTGACAGAAATAAACTTCCCTGCCTCTGTCGGCCCTGAATCGAAACCAACAAATAGTTCAGCGCTGTATATGATTCTGAAGTTTGTCCGCAAACCTGGGTAAGCATTTAGTAATGAAATCTGGGCATTTAGTTTTCTGTCTTTGGCAGTTATGTAGTCTTAGGTCGAATTGGAGTCGGAATAAAACGGAATGAAATGGTACAAAACAGAACGAAACTAAACGAATTGGAACGAAACAGAACGACACGGAACGGAACGAGAAGGAACGAAAGGGAACGTGGTGGAACGAAACGGGACGTGGCGGATCGAGGAGGAACTACATTAAGTACCAAAACTTTTGGTGGGTGTGAAAAAGGGCAACCGAAAATTAATCCCACCGAAATTTTTGGAAACCGAAATTTTTTCTGACCGAAATTTTCCAACGCTAGAAAAAGGTTTCCTTTGATATTGTTTGAGTAATATTAATTATCAAATACATCTCAATTTTCAGTTCTGGTTCTCCTTTGTAATCAACAAATAAGACACCCAGTACATCCAAGAAATTTGAGTTCTCTATGAGCTGAACTGATGCTTCTACTGGCTCTTTATAATTTCCCCAATTACTTCTTTCTAGCGGTTTCAATATAGCACCGAAGTGTGACGTCATCAAAAATCTATTTTTAGAATTTCTTAATTTTGACCACATAATCACAAAGAACGGCATAAAATACCTCTGAATGCAAAATCAGCTAGATATGTTCAACATTGGGCAAAATATGACCGATGAAAGATTTAAAGTTTGCTAACAGATTACTGTTGTTCTGGCCTGGTTCATAAAGACCAAATTACAAAGGTTTGATGGGAAAAGATCCTGTGTTCATGTGGTGATACATTCAACTGATTTTGTACATTTAGAAGTATTTTATAATGCTCTTTTGGAATATGTGGTCAAAAGTGCAAAATTCTACTCTATATCTATTTTAACTCAATTTTTAGCTCACAATGGATCAGAATAGACTGTACATATATTCTATCTAACTAAGCACGTCAGATTTCGCCAGATATCAAAGTTTCAGTTGTACAGCCTGCGTAGGCATTAAGTTTTAGTGCGATAGCCAACAGTGGACTAGGTATAAGAACCTCAGTCTAAATAAAGCCTTTGGTGAAGTTTTAAACCTTGCTTTACGTTTCCTTTCATCTAGCACTTCTAGTTATGCCAGGAAACAAAGCTTCAGTCATATAACTTGTGTAATTACAAAGTTATGGTGCAAGACCCAATGTAGGACTGGGTACAAGTACAATAGTCTAAAAATAGCTTTTGTGGAATTTTTAAAGCTGTTTTTGCATTTCATTTTATTCAGCACGTCAAATAACGCCAGAAAAAATGTTTCAGTGTTATAGCTTGCAAAGTTAAAACGTTGTAGTGCTATACCTAAAAGAGGAGTGGGTACCAGTACCCCAGTCTAAAAATAGCTTTTGGGGGCATTTTTTAAGCTTGATACGTATTTCATCTTACTCAGCATATCGGACTGTGTACTTGTACCAAACTTCATGCTATTATTATAACATGCACAATTTTACTGCTCTGCGTCTGCACTATCAGGAAACTCAAGAAAGCAAATTGTTTGACAAAGCAAAAAGTTTCAACAGCCATAACTTTTTCTTATAGGACAGATCACATTGCTCTTTGTATACCTTTCGCTCAGTTTTCAAGCTTTTTCCGAAAGTATCATCAGATTTGAAAAACTTCAAATTCGAAATTTTGCTGACCGTGGAATTTTTCATGCTTCCGGAAACGAAACTTCCGGTCATTTGCCAGAATGTTCCCAAGGCTTAAAATGTTCATTGGCTTTTACTCTTATAACTTAAACTTTAAAAACTTAGGTTAGGCAGGTTGCTAGATGATTATGCAAAATTCCCTGTCTATACAGAGTGTTATATTTCTTTACTCACCGAAATATTTTCAATCCACCGAAATCGTTCAAGTTCTCACCGTAATTTTCACCGATCTAAAATCAATCCAACGAAAATTTTGGCACCGGATTTTTTGGTAGTTAATGTAAACGAAACGGAAAGGATCGGAAAGAAAAGGACAAAACAGAAGTAGACAACAGAATGAAGTGGAAGAAAACTGAAAAATCCAAAAGGAAATAGAACGAAGGTAACAAAACGAAATGAAATAAAAATGATGAAAAATTTATTCATTTACAATATGCTAAATTAATAACACTTTAGTTGCAGCTAATTGTGTCCGAATGAAAATAAGATCGCCTTTAAGTCAACAAACAAAATACTATTAATTGCCAAAGACTAAACTTGAATGTATTTATTTTAAAAATTCCACATATTTTATAAGATTTTGAAATTAAAAGCCTCAGACAAAATCACAAAAATACAAGAATTTCACTCAAATTAAAGAAGGTTGTGCCATGCATTTTTCTACGAGAGCATTTTGTTTCGCTTGGAACGACGCGAATGCCTCGTAGATTTCCCGCCCTTTTGTTATATCTTGCGGTTCGCTTACGCTTGGTCGTTTTCATTTTCCGTCTTACACGCAATTCTTTCACGCAATATCACAATCAAAATTCTTGAATGTTTTCATTTTCTTAAAAAAATTCCCAACAACAGCAGGTAAAACAAGGTGCAATTTGTCTTCCTACACCTATAATTTATTTTTCACCGACAGGATTTGTTCCAAATATAGATTGTTATTCTGAAAATAATATGAATTTCTTATGTTTGCCTACAGAACCTATGAAAAACGAGTTTGCAGAACTAATATCGCAACTACTGTGTGTTTATTTTTAGCTTATTACAATATCCTTAGATTTACATGACAAAAATACTAAAATGTGACGATAATCGCCTGACCTTACAGTCTCTATACAGGGCTAGATATTTTTCATTTATTTTCTGTTTCTGTCCTAGGTATTACTGGCTAACGGTTGTATCCCCAATGGTATTAATATGCATTGTCACATTCTGTTCCGTGCTGCTGCCATGGGAATCGGGAGAGAGGACCTCACTGCTCATAACATGTTTCCTGGCTTTGATTGTCTACCTGGACACGATTTTGGGAAGCGTTCCGAAAACATCGGATTACGTGCCTGTCATCGTTTTCTTTGTTATTCTCGTGCTGATCTTCACGATAATGCAAATCACATTTACCGCCCTTGCTTCGTATTATGCTGAACGTGCCAGTAGAGGGAAAGGGTTTATAACCCCCTACGAAAGAATTTGGAAGTGTATAAAGAAGATTTTCTTTGAAAAGAAGAAGAAGAGTAGTATAAAGTCATTTGAGCTCAACACATTCGTCGACGACGAAATCGAAATCGAGAGGAAATTTCCACCGGCTGTTCAAAGACAAGTATCACGTGATGTTCCTGATGGAAACATGCCTTCAGTGACATTTGATAAAGCTAGAAAGGTATCTAGAATAAATAGTTTTTCGGGTATTCAAGAGAATGCAAGCAACGATGACAACATTGGTGACTTCGGGTCCGAAGACAAAGGAGCAGCCGACGATCCTAGCAATGCGTGTAAGGGAAAAGAGTGCAGAAAGGCATGCAAAATGATCGACCGCATCTCGTCGGCTTTATCCTTAATTCTGGTGATAGCGTGTCCTACTATGTTTCATTTGATGTATTCAGGTAAAATATCCTGGAAATGTGGTGCCTAGCCGTGTACAATAACAAGTTATCGATGATTGCAACTGCTTTGAAGTATGCACTGAAAGATCCTTTGCTATTCATTACCCTTTGCTCACCTAAAATAGAAAACCGAGCATCGAAATTGCGAATGCAACTTATTTGTGTGGATTGCTTTCCTGCGTGGAAAAGGACGATGAGGATGACGAATACGGGCACGAAGGCTAGCACGGAGACGAGGAAGAGGAAGAGGAAGAGGACGAGGACGTAGAAGAAGATGTAGATGAAGACGAAGGCGAGGACGGAGACGAAGGCGAGGACGGAGACGAATGCGAGGACGGAGACGAAGGCGAGGCAGAGACGAACACGAGGACAGAAATTCTCACCGTAGAATCTCACCGTAGAAACTTCGGACAGAGATTCTTCTATATTTTCGTTTATTTTCCAGGATAATGCCACTTCTACTATTAATAAGTAAATGATAATGATAGTCGAAGACCAGCAAATCATATGTAGAAACAAGCTTCGTTAATGTTTACATTATGCGAATAAAATGAGACTTTGTGTTAAATGTATTTGTTATTGTACAACATGCCCCACATATATCCATTGTTGATGCCTTTGCACTACTCCACAAAATTGTTGCTATAAACCCACTGTTTCAATGCTAGAGGCTGAGAGAACCTATTTAACATTTTTGATGATATTTTAGTAGTTTCTTCAAAATGAAATTAAAGTTAGAATGTAGTTTATTGAAGATGATAATGATGTTGAGCGGAAAGGGATTCTTCTCTAGAAAGGAGGGTTCAAAGCACCCCTGGTGAATATCAGGAATCTTACGTTTAAATTTACGCAAATAGAATTCATAAGAATTAGATTTAACACTATTTCTGGGCTCCTGAATACCATAATGATTTCTGGTTCCCAACAAGCATAATATCATTTGCTATGAGGATATGATAGCTTTGTCTATTTTAGTGTATTATTACTTATTGTTGGCTGATTAATACCCTCTATGCTAGCATTAATCATTTTATCACGAAATAATGGATTCAGTATAACATAGAATTGTATGCTAATTTTGTGAACATAGAACTACATTTTCATGTCAATTGCAATAATGTTGTAGCCGCACTGCTCTTCTTGCGAGTCTGTTGAATCCTTAAACGCTTCACTTATCAAAAGAAATCTTCTGCTACACAGGGAGGTTGGGTTTTTAGCTCACACAAGCCTTTTGGGTATCTCAATTTTTGAAAGTTTTTTATTAATTCTTGAAATATATGAATATAGAAAATTTTAGCTTGAAAAGCTGTGCATGTGACTATATGGCACCATAGTTTTGAATCCTAGTTGAATCATAGAAAGCTCTTACTTTAGAGAAGCTAGGACATTTTTCGTTAGCAGTTAGAAAGACATCGTTGATATAGCAGTTGCGCATTAATTTGGCTATTTCAAATCTTTGACCCCTAATACGCAAAAAATTGCGGAAGAAGGCAAACAGACACATATTGACCCAACTCCTGTTGTGGGCCCTTAAGGCTGATTTCCACTAGGCGAATTCTTTCGCGCGAATCAAATTTTTGCCAATGTGAGCATGCGTGGTGTCATGTTCTCAAATTTCGCAGCGAAAAAATTCGATTCGCAGAAAGTAGATGACGGTCCTACTCTATCGCTACGACTATTTATTCGATTAGCGCGAAATAATTTGCCTAGTGAAAATCAGGATTAAAAGCGCCTTCAAATATCATAAGTAACAACGGGTTATATAGAACCTTACCATAGAGGTATGGACCAAGAGGATATGAGGTACGTGCCGCCGCCCACCCACTTTTCAAAAACAGAGGTATGTACAGCTTACGGAGGTGCGCCTTTTATGCCTACAAGTGGCACCCATTGCTGAAATCCATCCTACGTCTCTGACCCTCATCAAAATTTGCATTTGAAAGCCATCCTTTTTCGGTAACATAGTCAAAGAAGCTTGCATTCCCCTGGGCTATGAATGCATCGAATCATCTTTCAGGTTCACTCTCGAGAGACCCGAAACAACGTCACTTAATGATATTGCGAACCAAGCGCATTTAACACTCAGCCACCAGGCAAGCTGCCCGCCATTTTGTTAGTTTCTGACACAAGACTTTTAACAACTGCCTTGATTTTGTTTCTTGGCCAATACCTTGCAAAGAGTGGTGAAAGAAATCGTAGCTGCTATGTTTCTGAAAGCTTTTCTACATTTTTAATGCCAAAAAGTGATTTCCATGGAGATGAGTTGAACATTTTATACACGAGACGGCATAAGGCCTACCTACCTCCACCAAACAGAGAAGGCTGCCAGGACAAAACATAGAGGTAATGTAGCATTTTCATTATCTGCTTTTCAAATAATACCTGTGTTGCTACCCTCCTAATCTTTCGCGAAATTTCTAGTCTGGTCTAAATAACAAGCAGCATGGTAAGGCATGATTACAATTGAAGTTCTTTCTTTCGTACACAAACTAGAACAGCTTTGAACAACATTTGCTTTTCCAAGATTAAACTTTATTTTGGAAAATCCTTCCTGAAATATTCCAAATGGAAACATTTTCAAGAGCATTTATCTTGTCAATCAATTCAAAGTCGATGGCCTCATCAAGTTCGCAAAGCTTTCTTTAGTTACCGCACGTTGCAAAATCGTTGTTATCGTTGGTTAATTGATGCGGCTTATGTTGTAACTTTGTAAACGAAATAAATCTAAATATCTTTGTCTTCCTCAATCTTGGCTCAAAAAAAATTTATATAGACTTATAGACATTTAGACATTTCCGAGCGTCTCCTTCGCAGAAGTCCAGAAGAGACAAAATGAATATCAACTGGTGGCTTTTAGGCACGAAATAGACTTAAGCCAAGTCTAGGCTCTATGAAGCCCCCTTTCTCTTTTATAATGGGCAATGGCAGTGAACAACGAGAATAATTATTTTCATATGATGGTCTTTGATTCGGGGTGGATGCAATGCTCTTTTTTTCTTTAATGCTCTTTTTTTCTTTAATGCTCGTCTTATATATTTTCGACAAAATATCTTCTAGATTTTGACAAAACAAAACAGAACTTTGCCAATTTCAAAAGTATTTTAAAGGAGACATAGAGTGGCAACCTTTTTCATTGGCCAAAGGCTTCTTCAGCAATTCATACCAGCATTAGTTCGGTTTAGTCTATAAGTTAAGAAACCATGTGAATTTATGTAAGAGCGGCTCAGTTCGGTGATTGTTTAACAGGGTTAAGTTGGCGTAACTAGGCCAATAAGAATAAAGTTTAGTGAGGTAGGAGGACCCGCCTATGGTTGAGTCAGACTCGAAAGAAAATTTTTAAAATTTTGACGATTCTCAGAAAACTGTGATAATTGTTTATTGAGAAAAATTGGAGAGGGGAGATGTCATGTTTGGGAAAGAAGAAAGACTGACATTGATGTGTATGACAGAATACTGTTGCATTGAAAGGGAGAATTTTCTTTCCTGAACAAAAATGTCCTTCTTTTTGTCTCGAGAATGCCATGCTTACACATCCAAAATAAGGACATTCAGACATTACACAGCCAGAATAATAGACAAATGATAGAAGTATTCGTAAAAAGGTTAGTAAATAGATAAAACAAAATCAATCGGTATATGAATAGTTTGTTCTATTTTTATTTCATGCATTAAGAACCAAAAATTTCGGTGGGATTTATAGGCTAGAAAATCTCGTTTTACACCGACGGACTTTCAGAATAGCAAAAAAGTTTCCCTTGATATTGTTTGAGTAGTATTATACATCAAATACATCTCAATTTTCAGTTCTGGTTCTCCTTCGTAATCAACAAATAAGACACCCAGTACATCCAAGAAATTTGAGTTCTCTATGGGCTGAACTGATGCTTCTACTGGCTCTTTATAATTTCCCCAATTACTTCTTTCTAGCGGTTTCAATAGAGCACCAAAGTGTGACGTCATCAAAAATCTATTTTTAGAATTTCTTGATTTCGACCACATCATCACAAAGAACGGCATGAAATACCTCTGAATGCAAAATCAGTTAGATATGTTCAAAATTGGGCGAGATATGACCGATGAAAGAATTAAACTTTGCTAACGGATTGCTGTTATTCTGGCCTGGTTCGTAAAATAGGATAAATGGTCAAAATTGAAAAATGCTGCTCTATATCTACGCCTTTATCTTTAACTCAAAATTGATCAGAATTTATAATCCCCTCGTTATGATTGGCGATCAAAAATATTGCTAGATGTAAACGCTTCCAATTAATTTATTCCCATGGGTTACAAGAAATGAAATAAAAAGCCCTCTTCCGGTTAGACAATAGTTTATGAAATTCTTGCCTGCTTTTCCGTTCTATTTACTGTGTTCCAGACAATTTTATGCTGAAATAACTTAATAGAAATATTTCTTTACACATCGAAATATTTTCCAAAATATATATTTCAGTGGCGGCGTTTATACGCTGAAATAAAAGTCTTCTTGGGCCCTGAAATTTTTTTCTGTTGCCCTGCGAAATTCACTATATTTGAGATTGGAGGGGGGGGGAGGAGTGCCAAATCCCCACACCTCCAGGATTTTTGCTACTGTGCATTGAAGAATTCGAGACGGAGGACACTCTTACGAGAAATGTGCCTAGGTATAGCTAGGTTTTTGCATTTGGTAAACTCTCCATATGAGGTGTTGTTGTCACTAAGCAAAAATACTTTTTTGTATGATCTCAACTATTTGAAGTGGGTAAATTCCACTTCAAATAGAGGTAAATTCCACAGTAAAATTAATGAATTTGTTGGGATTCTTGGAGGGTGGTAGGTAAGCTTGATTGCAAGTGAGATTCAACACACCAGCTTGATAATGAAACTTAACCAGATAGAATGGCTTATAATTATAAAGAGAAAAGTGTGTACAACAAAGTGGAGTAAAACCATAGATCTAGTAAAATTATCGTGATTTGGAAATGTTAATAGTTAACAATAAATTTTTATGAATTTCATTATGTGTTGAGTACAATCAGTTTTCAATGAATATAAGATACAAAAATATTAAAACACAAAGATTGCTTACAACCAAGACGGGCCAAAAATCATTGAAAATTTTACAGTCTGTGGTAATATGTCAATTTAAGATAACGCGAAGACAATGCGAAGATAACGCTCTGACCATTAAGAGAAAACTTGCAATACACGAAGTCAAAATATTAAGACACAATGAGGTTATGTAAAAATGTATAACCCCAAAATTTCGCGTTTCCAACAACAGGAATGGCTGGCTGGTACACTCAAAATTCATTTTTACCAGCTGAAAACATTGATATTTTCCGTTTTAGTTTCTAATATCAAACAAAAACCTGTGAGACATCAATGTCAGATAGAAAGCTACTTTGAATCATAGAATACAGTTTTTTGGAAAGCAAATATTCAGTAGATAAAATAATTCAATAAAATTGCAAGAAAAAAAGCTTTACCCTAAAGATGCGCATACAACAAAATATGCGCATTGAAAATTGCTATATTTGCAGCATAGGATATCATATAAAATTTTTGTTTTGGAGATTTTGGAAAGATTTTTAACAATGCAATGGGGATTGCTTTCACGACGGTATGACCAAAAGAAATGTTACTTTCTGACGCTAGCACCATAAACAACCTCTGATGTGAGGGGAATAAATTGTGGAGTTCCCCAAGGCTCTTGTCTTGGTCCACTCTTGTTCCTGATTTACATCAATGATTTGCCTTTTTCCTTGCAAAAATCTCATGTCAGCATGTATGCTGATGACACGGCCATTTCCCTCTCTTCAAAAAGTATTGGTGACCTTCAAAATGACCTAAACTTAGATATTTTGAAACTACAGTATTGGCTGCATGCAAATAAACTTTCCTTGAACGTAGTGAAAACGCAGTCACTTGTTATAGGCTCTGGTCCAAACATCCGTAAGATCGAAAGCCAGCCTGATACTCGACCATCCTTTTCTTTTTCAATAGGTGATCAGAACATTGAAATGATCACCAACACAAGATACTTAGGTGTTCAGATAGACAGTAGGCTCAACTGGGACAAGCATATCGATACTATCAAGACCAAGGCTAATCGAGCCCTTGGATTATTAAGTATTCTAAGAAATATCTTCCATCTGACATCCTCAACAAAATGTATAGAGGAATTGTTGAGCCCCATTTGAGCTACTGTTGTTCCGTTTGGGGCTGCTGTAATGAATCAAAGCTTGACGTGTTGCAAAAAATCCAAAATAGAGCTGCCAGAATTGTAACTAGCAGCCCATACGATGCGTCTGCTGCTCCGATAATTCAGAATCTTGGCTGGTTAACCATCAGAAATCTTGTAAGAAAGGAGACAGCCACGCTAACTTACAAATCTCTAAATATGCTTGCACCAGACTATTTGAGAAAATTATTCGAAAAATGTTCGGATGATAGAGAACGGTTTCTGCGTTCATCAGAAACTGATCTTAAGATACCGCTGCTAAAAACAATAAATGGCCAAAAGGCTTTTTCTTATCGCGGTCCAAAACTGTGGAACAGTCTAGAAAGGGCTACCAAATTGGCCCCTCCCTGAAAACCTTCAAAGAACAACTATAGTCGGGGACAACTTTTATTTCATCTTTACGTTCACTTTTTATAGCCTTAGTATTATTAAATATTGTAAATTAGGTTTGATTGGTAAATTTCTTTTGTTACTAGTATTTTAACATAGTTATTAGCTCTTATTTTATTCTTTTAAACAGGTCAGGTTGAAAAACATATTTATGAACCTTTAACCTGTACAAATATTATAAAATGAAAAAAATGAAAAAAATACCTTTACCTATAGCAACTAAAACATAGCAGCTAAGAATTTTGGATAATTATTCTCCAAAGCCTTGTCCAGAACACATTACGGTTTCACGACTGTGAGCCGGAGGAAGGTTATTCAATGGTGGAGTAGTTTCGAGGAAGGCCAATGCATACTTTACAAGAGTACAAAAGTTAGAGGGTTTTCCCGTTGTGCTTGAACTTGGCAAAATGTTAAGACTAAACCATAGATGACTTTACATAAATGTCATTTCTAAAAAACTCTAATTCAAAAGTAACAAGGAAAATTTTGAGGAAAGAAAATTGGGCAAAATTCAATCCGTAGACAGGTTGAGGGGTTTTCAGGATAGGCTGAATTCCACTCCAAAGTACTTATTTTCAAAACTGTGCTCTTTACATTCGAGGTTATATTGTAATTTGTCTGCTAACTTCAACTTTCCTGTGTGGATTGTAGCTTTAAAATATTGTATTCTGTCTATTAAAGATTGCTGAAGTCAGTTGATCACAACGATGTAAGATAAAAGACTTCAAATACAAATAATCTGAACTTTCCCACCAAGACACAGGACATTGACATGAACAAAAATGCAACCTGAATTCGCAGTTAGACGTATATTGAAGTGAGAAAATGTAAGTTTTCCTTTTATTCTTCTGTGATTAATGTAAAATTAATACTCGAATTCCGGATATTCATGTGTGAAAAATTGTAATTGAAAATTTGTTCAAACCAATTTTCTTGAAGTTCAGCTAGAAACTTCATGTCAAAAACCATTTATCTTGAGACGAAGCCATTAACGAGGTATTATAAACATATCTTCAATACAAATGGATCAATCCATGAGATTTACTGTAGCATTCAAGCTATTTCCCAAGATAATATCTTTCATTACCCCCTCCCTCCCCCCTGCAATTCAACAATCATTTGCTTTCACTTTCACCAATGCTTGAATTTACTTTACAAGGCTGTAAATCGTGGGGCCTAACACTTCTGGCAACCATGCGTTTTTCTCACAAAAGAACAGTTACTTAAAAATAAGGGAAACTATAAGCACGTTTCTCGTATGAAAGTTCACTATCTCGAAGGGTAACAAACTTTATGGCTTGCATTTCAGTACAATACCGTACCCCTAGATTATGTTTGCATGTTACTATCCGTTGTTCTATAAATACAAACCGTACAGGCTTTCTGCACGGTCTATAAACAGTACACACTTTTTTATTAAAATATCTAATTTTTTTGCTAGACCTCAATAGTCTTAAATTTTTCTTAAATCATTCTTAACATATAGCGTGAACTCGCATTTGATTTGCCTTCCAAAAAAACTCACATAAACAAAATATTTAATTTTTGATGAAGCTTGATCCTTGCATTTTTTACAAATCATTCTTAAATATCAGCGATTTTGAGCCTTAATATTCCTGTAGACCTTATTCTTATATAAAAAGTGTGTATGTTGAGAGTTTTCTGGAGCTAATTAGCATTTTCAAAGCCTATTAGGTTTGTGTATAATCTCTTTGGTCCTAAAGTCTTGCTTTCAACAGCATCTCTGAAGGTGCGGTCACTGGCTCCCCATAAAATGCATGCCTTGCCAAATGTTTTCATCATTGGAATTTAGCCATATTTTTATCTTAAAATTTGAGGCAACCTTCAGATTATGGACAAAATAAACAAATGCTTTCCAGAACATTCATGCGCAGGGCTAGAGAATGTTCAGAGCTGTAATTAAATTCTATTCATCTATTTGGTCAAAACCTTAAGTGTCATATGTATTTGCTGGTCCTTCATAGGGAAATTTGCTTAACGTTGAAAATATTCAAATCAGGAAAGAGTACACCAAAGACTGGGAAAACAGCTTCGGCTTATTATAATGGGTACCATTCCCTTCTTTTCTTTGACGAGCGTGCATTCAGTCCCATCCTTTATGTAGTCTATGTAAAAGGGATAATGTTTTCAACATACTTCAGTTGATACACCTGTTTTGCACACAGGGGGGAGTAAGAAAATAAACGCGGGAGGGGAGATTGATTGAACAGCCAAGATTGAACATGATTCAATGGCCTCGGAGAGGTAGCTGCCTTGCATTGAAATGCTATCGCTTTTTAACCTTCTTTAGATTTTGCAGTAGCGTAGACATTTCCAGAAGTAGCATAATGGATAGGCAGGGCTACATTTACCAAAATTTTTGCCTTTGACGACAATGTTTTCATAACAAGGAATTCAGTGTAAATGAATTCCAAACCAATAGCGGATTTCAAGGTAAAGAGGCAAAAAATCGTAACAAGAGAATACTTTCTCTCTCAATAAATGTCTCATTTAATGATAGTTATTTTATCTGCTTTTTTAACAATTGCGGTTCATAAATTACAACGATGAGCTGCAATCCATATCAAGCGTTCCTCAAAGTCGTTGCAGAAGGTTGCTTCATATGCAGATAACGATCTTTCGCGATCGATAAAGGGGCGTCTTAAATTATCTCAAAATCAGACACGGAGTCTGCGGCACACAATTTTTATCCTAGCTTAAAATATGAGGTGTATAAACTTTGTTTCAAAAATTAGAGTTCACACATCTGGGATTAAACATGAAGAAAACATGAAATTGTACGGGAATATATCAGGAAACTGAGGTTTTGTAAATGATAAGGAAACTGGATTTCGGATACGGTGACTTTATTCACATACAAATAGTCATAAAAATTAGTGGTTTGTAATCACTGCAAATATGGCAGCAATTCGATGAAAATATTGCCTGAAGACAAATGCTTTGCCGTTTGCAGGAGTCGGTTGGGGGATGGATTAGGGGGGGGGGTGTGTTAGGGTTCATCTCATGTATCATATGCAGCAAGAATAAGCTAGTAATTTTCTTGAAGCAGCGCCTGCATTTGATCAAACTTAATTACAATGTATGCTTTATTCTAAGAAAAGAGTTATGACATAAAATTTATTGTACTTAGACATCTAAACATTGTGTGAGTTTTGACTCTGTAAATGTCCATACCTAGTCTACTGATTTCCAGCGGATCCAAAGCAGAAACCCATCATAGCATATCTTTGTATGACAAAACGTCAATTAGAAAAAACATGCACATTCCATGGTCTAAATAATCGAGCGCTTCTTGGAACGCGAATTACAAATCAAGTCGGTTAATTCAAGCTAAGGGTTTTCAACCCATCTACGTGGGAATACACAACACGTTCTTAGCAAAATCATGTCTTTGTACAGTCAGAAATGGATGAAATTACCTTCATCGAATGAATTGCTCATGCTGCAATTGCAACTTAAACTGTCCTGCACAGGCAAATATCGTATTTTATACCATGCACTTGTCTAGATCCAAATAAAACCGTCAACTGTCCCGTCCCCATATATCGACCCATTCTTCAAGTGTTCCCTGCAAATTTAAGAAAGCCACCTCAATATCACTAATTAAAGAGCACTTTGACCATTATTTCAAAACAGAGAAGTGTCAAAAAATCAATTTAACTGAATGTAAAATTGTCCCTTATATTATACGTGCTTTTCTTGGAACTTCGTATGTTGGTCCACGTGAATAGCGTTTTGTAATTTAATTAACACGCTCACGCAAGCAAAAAAACAATTTTTCATTTTCATTTCAAGTTCTTTAGGAAGGGCGTACCTCATTTAGAGAAAAAATAAATTCACAGGTGGACCATGTAATAAATACAATATAAACCAAAGTTACTATAATATGATACAATAAGATTAATAAAAAGAAACAAAATTAAGTGAGTTAATGTAAAAAGCATCGCAATTTCCGCACCGCAACGGAATTTCTTCAGCCCTTGTTGGAATTTCTCAATTGTAGATGCTCCCTTTATTTTATCGCTCAATCCATCCCGGAGACATGCCTCTCTGAATGGAAAATATCTCTGACAAGCTGATGCCATTAACAATTGAGTTCTAAGGCTATAATTCGGCAGTATGCGAGAGGTTGTTTCGTTATCTTTAGCAGACAATACTCTAAAATGTCAACTGTGACGCAATTTTCTGAACTTTTTTACACTTTTAGAGTTGATAGTATAACAAGATGACTAGGTATAAATATTTGGAAAAGTCACATTTTGTTCATAACACCTTGGCATCTAAAGTGTCAGTTGGCAAAATTCATTTTCTTAGCGTATGTTGATAAAACTCGAATGGAAAACAACCTTAATGCAGGAAATAGGGACTATTGAGATACGACAATAGCGATGAGTTCACTTAATTTGAGTTAGACAATGAAATGGCCTTTCTGAAACTGAAACCTATTACATATTACAAAAACATGTGACATTGCATAATTAATGCAGAGATATCAAATATGCATGATAATGTATTCAAAGCAAATATCTAAACACCTTCGGTCAATCTCCATTCAAAAAAAGCATGAAGCACAATAAAATTAGAACCAACTGGCCTGGACATTGCTTTTTTTAAACAAAACAGGTGACTGGCAGAGTTCAATCTGCTTTTAACCTCATATAGTTCGAGCACCGTACTCACATTTTATGGCCGACACGAAAAGGTGTACAGCGTTAGAAAGGTCTTTTCATAAACGCTTATTATAAGAGGGCAATTGAAATCAGGACCTCAAACAAATAAGGGCAACATTTTACTGGGTGCTTACGTAAAAAGTAGCCAAACGCTTCAGGAGATATAACTTCTTGATACTTAAGCAATTGATAGTCATCATCTCTTTTCACCGCTACCAGAATCCATTCATATTCAAAATGAATGACCCAGAAACGTTTTAGCGATCAAGTGAGGGCCACTGACGAGGGGGGCAGGAGCCATGCCCCATTATTTTCTTGCAAAGGAAAAAAACTTATCTATTTACTACTTCCTAATTTGTTCATGCCCACTTTCCAACTTGCGTTGGAGCCCCTGCTATTAGAATATATCGACCGTCTGAGAGCTTCACAAAGACAAATAGCGAAGTGGTGCAATTGAAGAAGAAGTGTCGGATCAGCATAATGGTCGGTGAACGGGTGAGGGATTATTTCTGATGTTATAGAGAGTGGCAAGAGTTGAATTGAACAGTTGGCAGGTCAATGCAATTTGTGACAAATGATGTTTGTCGTTGTGACTTGGAAGATTATTATGTTTCTGGTTAAAATGAAGATTACTGTGAACCAATTTGTTGATGTCGTATAGAAGGAGCTGTGCTCGATATAGTTGGAGCTGTGCACAGACACTTCTCTGTTGCATGATGGTCTCATTGAGCATGAATAGCAACTTAGAGGAGCAACTCGGAGTACCAACTTTGAACCACTCTGTTCCAAATACCAAAATCGTAACTATGGTTTCACATAGGGAGGAAGACTCAAACTTCATGAAGCATTGCCATAGCGAGAGTTCTATCTATTGCATTCATCAGTTGGTGCTGTCGTCCTAAAACAACATGTGAAGACACAATCCAGGTTTACTCACCAGATGGACTGGAAGCAACCAGTCTTCCGTAATTACCTTGTTTCTTTTGCCGAGCCCTGGAATTCTGGAACCAAACCTGCGTCACTCTTTTTGATAGGCCGGTGAGCTGCGAAACTCGTTCCAACTCAGCTGCATCCGGGTTCGGATCAATTTCAAAGTTCGCTTGTAAAATTTGCACCTGTTCGTCAGTGAAAGAAGTCCTTACTCGTTTTGATCTTCCTAGACCAAACTTCTCGTTTGCCTTTCTCTTGGCTTTCTCTTCCTCATCTAATCAAAGAATGAAAGTATTACTACCAAGAATATCAACTGTTTCTCGAAACTAGAATTTGCAAATAACTATGGCATTGCTCGAGCATCATGACATTTCGGTATAATACTATTGTAATACTTTCCAGAAAGCTTTACTTCTCAACGGAAAATATTATTAATAAACATCCAGTAGGAATGCTAATGATGCAAAAACTACAAACAATACTTTGTAGCATATCACTATTACTTAGAGCAAACGCTAAGAGTGTTTTTCTATACTTTTCAATTGTTTTCCAAAAGAAACCATTTCCCTAAATCTGAAACGCACGAAGCAATTTTATCGTTGCTCTTGAGGTTAATATTACAGATATCGGATCGGCCCTAAATTCAAGGCCATTATAGAGCAACATAAGTTTATCATATTCAATATTTGAAAAGTTTATAAAACTGAGAAATGAAAAAAATACTTAATAGAAGTGCATCATTAGTTCAAATAGAAGCCTTGTAGCTGCTACAACTCCTTGGAAATTTACATCGATTGCTTTTTACAAAGCTGCATAGATTACTAGACTGAATTCACTACAATAACTACATTGTCGATCTATACAGAAACATTAATATCAAATATTTCAAAATGAATCACTACGGTTAATAAATACACATGTAGTTTTATTACATTTGAGTTTCTCTCTTGTATTAGATAGTCATTTTAGATAGCTGGAACAGGATTTTATGCAGCTGCCGGCCCAATAGTTCTGGTTTCGACAGAATACAAATACGCAAATCGCCTGGAAATGTATTATTTTATGTATGCTTCTCGTCCTACAAGACTGGAGCTAATTGATATGATACGGCTGGATCAGTCACTTAAATTCCAGTCAAAGTACAGTTATACTGGCTTTACGGGTTAGAAGATAGCCTCGGGTTAAAAAAAAGAAGGTCACAAAAAGATAAGAAGGAAAAGTCCTATAGAAAAGGCCATATTTATAGTTAATGAGAGAAGGAGCTTAAAATAACAGGCATTGCAATCCTATGGTTGAAAACTTCAGTTTGCCTTCGAATTTGTTTAAAACAGTAGAATGGATCAATGTCAGGAAATACACGATTCAATGTTGACCGAGGAGATGAAACTGCACACTTCACGACATAAATAGTTCATATCTCATAAAGCCTTAATAATCCCTTGATACAGGAAATACAAAAGTTTCCTCCCTCAACAAACACAGGCACACTCTTTCTATGTTTTAAGTAATCCGACAAGGATTGCGGAGAGAAGAAAACTTTACACCTAACAAAATAGGATTACATTGCTTGTATGAGGAAAAGAATTTTTAAAAAATCAAGTTGTGTCATCTCTTTGTAAATATTATTCGGAGCCGAAAGTTCGCGATATAATGTTTCCTTTTTTCTGAAATCTTAATTAAACATTTGTGATGAAAGAAGCTTTCCCTTGAAAAAGATCTGAGGTTTCTATGGAATACCATGGTCCTGTCAAAGACAGCCTACAAATATTACTTTATTTGAATTTCAACATTTGTAAAATGTCATGGATTATTCGTGAAACTGTCTATTTTGAAGCAATCTTGTGATCCGCAATGAATTCAAATGCAAGATATTAACCAATATTGAAAGGTGGACAGGTTTTTTAAAACAAAAAGAATTTTGGGAAGTTTCACTTTAAGGTGAATGAAATTCTTAGAAGCAAAAAGCGCCTTGGTTTGCTTTGTTGATCAATGCTCTCAGAAAACTAGGGAGATAGTAACTTTTTCCAATTTACAACAAATGTTCTTACCAACTTACTACTTTGTATTTTAATCTACATACACGTCTTCTTTTTAAGAAACACGTAAATCCAGTTAGGCTCAAAGCTTCTTAACATTCTGTTGATTTGAGCCACAAATGTTTTTTAAATGCTTTTTAAGAACGGACTCTGTAACTTCCAGATTAACATTCTTAGAATGCATATCATCAGCATACAATGAAGACACAGTATTGTGTGTCACACTGTAACAAATTCGAAAACCGTAGCTTGATTTAATTTTTCTCCCCGATCCCTCTATCTGAGCGTGGCAATGTTTCCTAGATATTTCTTAGTTTTTATGGTATTTGAGCATCGTGATTTTTATTTCCATGTTCTTTAAAAAGAAAAAGATGTGTAATACTTTTCATTACAAATTATAGCTTACTTGAATGCCTGTATTAAAGACAAACATCAAATCAGATTGAGTAGCATGACAGACTAAAGAATATCAAAATAATTCCCAAAATAATTACATGAGTAACTGATAGATTCCCTCTTCGTGTTAAATGTATACCAAACATTGAAAATTCTCTAATACTCATAACAAAGAAAAAAAGGAAATCTTATCTTGATAAGTTGAATCTATAAGGAAAAACACATTTGACAGATTTGAGATATGATAAATCTTCAAAGACAATTTTCTTTCTTGAGATTTCTTTGTATTTCAAAATGTTTTAACTCACACTAAAAGCCTGCTATTTCAACTTCTCCTTTCCCAAAACTAAATTTAACAGTCTGGGTAAATATCACACATTTACCCAAATTCAAAAGTTACACACTGTTGTTTGCTGAGTGAACACAATATCCTGACTAAAAAGAATTAAATTCAATATTGATGCAACATTCAGAATTCTAAAGATCTTTTTTCACTAAAAACTACAAAACAATAACATATTTTGATTCAAACAGGTGCTATTTTGAAATAGGAACAATCATTTTGTAGGGATTTATACGGGACATGTGGTATTTATATTACAACCTCTGAACCAAATCAATATTTAATGTTAGGATACAGATTAGATATCCTTTTATTGAAGAATATGGGTATTATCTTAAACTAATTAAAAATACAAGATGTCTAAGCATATAGCTCAAAGTTAAGGTACACAAAATATCAGAATATGCATTTTACGTTACTGGTCTAGGCATACAATTGAAAATCATTGATGTATCTACATAAAGTGACAATAACCATAATTTTGAAAATGTTTCAAATTCAATTGTAAAACTATCATCAAATCAAAACTAACTTGAAGTATGGCTAAAAACTCCATGGCTAATATGATACTAGAAAGTGGAATTAACTAAAAATGAAATAATGAAATAAAAGACTTACCTTCTGCAATGATAGACTCTCTAACTGTGGAGCTGTGTGAGCTAATATCACTTTCATTGCCGGATGAATTCAAAACCATAGACCCAATGTTATTAGATCCAGGTGTTAGTGGGGATTCTAGTTTTTCTATGTAATGCAATTTGCATAAAAGTTTATGGTCAATCAGTGCAAATTCTTCTCCAGTTGATAGCTGTCTTTTACAAACTTCACATGCAAAGCATGCCAAATGATAAACATGTTGCTTGGCTTTCCTTACCCAATCTGTCTCCTGAATAGCCCGCTGACAGCAAGAGCATTTAACAGAATATTTGACACGAAACTGCCTGAAAAAGGCATAACATTGATTAAAGGTTATTGTATAAGCAAAAATAAATCAATGATTGCAGTAAGTGCAAAATATGAGAAAAACTTACAGGACAGCTTCCTTCATTTTCTTAAAAACCTTTCAAATCAATTACATTCAAACATAAAATTGATACATTCTTAGTATGAAGTGTCAATAACTTCAGTAAACCTACCACAACATAGATGCAACAAACAGGACTATCAGTCATTATCCCACACTTTTATATTTTACTCAAAAATTGCAATGAGGTGTTGTTTTTTTATTGGCACTCCTATCAAGTGCAATTTTATTTCCATCCCCAAAAACTGTTTCATTAAACTATTAGATGCAAAACATACTCCTTTAATTTTTCTATAATTTAATATGTAACAAAAATGCTACCATAAAATTTCATCTTGTTGTTTATTATCTAGAATTTTTTTCGATTTTTTTCTAAAATTTAAATGTTAAAAATCTTTAAAAAAGGGTTTCTGACCAAAGATATTGCAAAAGGAATACTAAATAAACAGGCATCAAAAACTATGATGCCACTTTAGAAAAAATTAACTGATTCAAATTCACTAACAATGAACACAAAAATTTATGAACAAAATGAGGGATAAATTTATGTGAATATTCAGCAATTCAAAAGAAAAGGAAGAATAAACCTGGTATGCAGTTTTGGGAAAAGTTTGTCTGCAATAGGATGCTAGGGAAAGGATTTTGTGGCTGTGATAATTGATAGCTGATGGGCAAAAGATTGAAAAAGAGTTGAAACATGGCCACATATTTTCTTTCTGCATGGTCTTTACTTGAGAGCACTATTGTAAAGTTGCCACTTGGGCTAAGAGCACCTATCCTTTTAACATTAATCCTGCGTTATTTCTCACAAGCATTGCATCTTACAGTCAAACTTGCATAAGTCTGACTTCTATAAGTCAAATTTTTTGGAACCTGGTTAAAATTGTGTTGCCATTCCTTGAAGATTTTAATGGATATACATAAAAAGTCAGACTTTAGCAGCAAACCTAGTCATTACAACATATTTGCTGGAGGACAGCCTTCTTAATAAATATAAACATTTGTGACTATTTCAAGATACAGGCATTCATGATATGACACAAAAGCATATGATGTTGTCAAAAGTTACCAGGCTTTTGTTGGAAAGGCGTCCAATCGCATATCCACTCCCCTGGAGCACCTCTACTATTTTCAAGGGGACCAAAAGATCACATGGCACTTCAAAAAGGCTTAACAACTTATCAGGATTGGATTTTAGATAATAAATGCCAAAATATTCAACTGGATTAATCCTTTTTTATATTACCAAATCATTTGTCTGAGAATATAACTGAAAGAGAAGTTAGCATCTTGTAACAAATTTTATAAGATCAAATTCATTATTTGCTTTCCCCCAAAAGACTGAATTATCTATAGTTTGGTTGATAACATTAAGATTAAGTTCCTTGCTACAAAGGGTTTTGGTTTTGTGGCACTTTATTTGGGAATTTTATATGTGTAAGTTGGACTTTGCAGTGATAGGTATGTTGGAAGGTCCAAAAAGATCAGACTGAATAAGATTTTTTTAGGGGAAACGAACCAGCATTTGTCTTAAGGACCATTGGCTTTGCAAAATTTTACATCATATGCACATGAGCAGTTACAGTCATTGATGTTATTTTTATATTGCATAAGATACTCTGAGGTAGTGGAAAATTTGTGGCATTTGTGGGAATTAGTCTGTCTTGGATCAAAAGACGAAGGAAATTTAGAGAAAAGGCTGTCATGAGAAGAGTGAGAACCAAACTGGTTTACATATGCAACTATGATATATATATGTATAATAGTTTTGAAATGCTGTGAAGCGCCATTGGATGTTAATTTTGTCTTCAAATTTTAATGTGCATGCCCATATGATGCACTTTCTTATTGGCTTAGACAAATGCATAGAATAATGGCTAAAATCAATATGAATTTAGACTCATCTCCCTAACAAATCTTGCTCAACTCTGTCACTTATACTTGCACAGGACCAAATCATGTTGCAAAAGAGCAGGTTAACAGCTGCAGGATTTTATTTCTAAATAGCACTTGGGAGCCTTGTGATGAGGCTGTGCACAGGGTTCACATGAAAGACTGTATTGCAACTGTGTGGATTAATCTAAATTTGCAAAAATGTGCAAACAGGAAATATTATTACATGGGGAACCCTACCCAAACTTTGCAGAACTTTGCAAAACTTATCACCTAACAACCAGCTACTCATTTATGGTGCAAAATGTAAAAAAAAATTCTACTTGAAGTTTTGAATTCTGTGGGTATCTTGTACTCTATTTACCACTGGGAGGCAATGAACAGCCCTACCAACGAAATTTTCAAAAAAATATCTTACTTTGGGGGGTCTGAACTGTAGATGATTTCAAATTTATGCACCTTTCACTCTGATTTACCTTCTCCATAGCCTTAAAACTGTCAACTGAAGCTAAAGATGACTTTATTTCTCACTTCAGCACTCTAGCATCAGATGTGTTGTTTTGAAATGTTTGTAAATAATCCTCCAAAACCCGTCAATTGAGGAAAATAAACATGATTCATTACGGAAATGTTCATTCTTTGAATCTGGCAACTTGAAATGGTACAATCACCACTTTTAAATAAGTTTTGGCAAATTGAGGAAATTCAGATTTCGACCTGCTTAGCAAAGCTGCAAGGAATGACTTTGATAATATAATCTTACATAATAAAAAGCAACCCTTTCGATGCGACGTTGACGAGCCACAAAGCTAGATATTGTTTTCAAGAAACAAAGCTCGAACTTTTCGAGATTTCTTATAAAAATCACTCCGAAAATCTCAAAAACTTGAGGGCGAAAAATGATTCCAAGAGGTTGTAACACAATAACTTTTGAAATCCTTGTTTTTCATTTCTGATATAAGGATAAATAAAAAAACATTCGGCAGATGCCCTTCATAAATTCAAAAGCACCTTCGGCAAACAACTTTCCGTCTTCAGGGATGAGTGAGGAAATCTAGCTCTCCCATGATCGCAGCTTAAGGAAATCTTTTTGAATAACCAAACTGTTTATACACTGTGCGTCAAAAGGCCATCGCTACTTTGAAGCTTGAACACACGCCGGTAATTGTTCGTGCAATTTTAGGCCCTTTCTTTTGGTAGTTGCCTAAATAAGACAAACAAAATGATGATATCCACTAAACCGGGCCACTGCAAACGGCCTAATGTCCATAAATAACTGCGGTCCATTTCTGAATTCTGGAAAGTTAAGCACAAACCCATGTTCGTGGTAAAAGACTTACATTTTGCATCCAAAACCAGACAGATCACCTTCCAGCTACCAAATCGAAACCGCAAAACGCAACACAATTCAATTCAACCCTTTCAAAACGTTTACCGTAAATCCTCGAGCATCGACACACCAAGGGAACGCAACCAGGCGTGTTAGAAAGCGCTGACACACTGTAAAAATAAAGGCCCGTTGAATCAACAATTTTTTATCCGCCCCTGTTTTTGTGAAGCAAATAAAACATCAGTACAAACTTACGTTATTTTATCGGGCTATTGTATGTAACACCCATCTTAAAATTGTTAATATTTAAATTTCATGTCGGTACAATGAGAAACTCTTGATAAGCGCTACAGAATTCACTAGTAATTTTCAGGACACAAATGCAAGAAAAACATAGGCAATGGAAACGTTTGCGTTTTAGCCCATTTCATAGTATTCTTTGTCTATGCAACTCGTATATGTCATAAAAGGATGTTGATTTCAGTAAGCCCCTATGCCAAAAAGGGGCCCCCAATATATTTCAGTATCCATGTATCTACGACTTCGTTCAAGTTCACCTTCTTTTCAAAAACTTTTTATATTTTTAAGCTGAAGCATGTTTCTCAGCTCCTCCTAGCTAACAAGTACAATTATCTTTACATGTATCAATTTGCAAACAGAGGCCTCATTTCAGTTTTATTCTAAAGGGTCCCAGGTGCCTCCCGTACGCCACTGCTTCTCGCATAGTTTAGTTAAGGCTTTTTATAAATTCGGCCCTTTCCACATGACTTACTTGTATCCTCATATTCTTTTAATTTAATTTTGCTTTATTCTACTTCCTAAATTCTAAAGAGGGTTTGAAAATCGCAACGATGCTAAAATAAAAAGGAAAATTAATAATACGCTTATTCAGCAAATAAAATCCAGTTAGGTGCTTAAATTATTTTTGGCAAAATAACAATACTAGAAAGACCTTGATAACGAGCATGATGATGTAAACAACATTTTCAAACTAAATTTCAAAATGCCCTAAACAACTAGGTTGAATCCACGTGGTTGAATCCATAGCACATAACAAAAAACCCTCCCTAATGAACAACACTGTTGCAAAGTGACCGACGCGAAATAGACAGAACTGTTCATGTTTGCGGCTTAAAGTTGCACATTTGAGTTTTATCGCGATTCTCAAGCAACTGTTCGCATCTTAGAAACCTGCCTGAAATTTTTAGAAACAGCAATATTGAATATAATACGCTCTATCAGTTAGAACCAGAGAACAAGAATTATAATTTTCTATTTGTGACAAATTTCACAAAGTTATGATGATAGCAGCTCAGCCCAGTTTCTAGACATCCTCCCCTCCCTGAAAGCAGATTCGGCTTTTTTTAAACTTTAAGACAAGAAAAAAAACATGAATTTTTGAAAAAAATTATTGTGATCTAATCACCTAGCAAAAACCTTACACAACAGGTAGCTTCTGTCGAGTATGAATGCTATGCAATCGCCTTGTCTTATGCCCTATGTTTATTTGTTTGTCCACTACAAATTCACATTTTGTTTGTCGTAATGTCCACTATTACATCAACCATACTGCGCTCTACCCATTTTCATGACTAAATGGTAAAACTAAACGCAACAAAACCCTTGGTCCGGAATACGTTGATAAAACAACTTTTAGGAAATTAAGCACTAGAATGCATCAACACACTTGAATTCATCAAATATCATTTACGTTGCTTTGTCACTAAAGCAATTTCAACATAAACGCTATGAAATAATTCATAAATATTCTGACTGGTTTTGAGGCTGCAACGAAGTGGGAGTGATTGCTATACGCCCCTTTTTTCTAGATATTTTCAGCTTATGTCTTTCTTGAAAATCTTATGTTTTTCAGCTGCTACCGCCAATCTTGATATACACTACATTTCTTCATGACGATTATCGGCATATATAATAGCTTTGAGGTTCACGGATAAATTTAACAGCAAGTGTCAAGCAGCGATAAAATAATCGCGGTCTCTGTAGACAAAAAAGTTTTCCAAAAAACTATTTATTACAGAGGAAATCTTTGGCGAGAAAATAATAGAAAGAAAATAGAATGTTTAGAACAGATGCATTCTTGAAGTAGAATAACTTCTCTGTACACAACTTAAAAACTCTTATGAAAATATTTTCTTGGGAAGAACAACATACATTGCCATCAAATATAATAATCGCATACAAATTGCAATTACCCGTAGAAGATTTATTTCAAGTCTAGATGGTACTCTTTTGGTATATATGGGATTAAATCATACAAATATTTAACGAAAAATATTTGAACAAGGCCTTCAACGAATTAAGTCTTATACAACTAATCAAACTAAAAAGGAACGAAATGAGAACTAGGGAAAATTTCGATGCTCTCTAGAATTTGGAATCAATTTGGCAAAAGATTGGATATTTGTGAGCGAAAATATGGCGCCCGAACCATCTGTGGCAAAGTTTCCTATTTTTCAGGTTAACTTAAAACAACGATTTTCTAATGGTTTTGTTGAAGTAAATGAATTGGTGCCTATGCAGAACGCCTTCGGGCTCCTCCAGGCGACAGGCTATTAGAGGAAGACTTCTGCTGGTTTTCCTTTGTAATGGCTGTAGATTGGACATAACCTTTTCATCCAAGTGAAACCGTTTTAGCAGTAAAGTACTAGGACGCTAGAGCCTGGGGGTCAAGGGGCTTAGCCCCCAAAGTTGTGCTACGTATGATGCAGAGGTTCTGGCATCAAAGATAATGATGGCAAACTATCATAACAATTTGCCAACTCCTCTTGAACTCCGGCCTCCCTGTAGAACAGTAATTTTTTGAGTGGTGCAATAAGCTATATGTTACTTTAAAACTCTTTGTGATGTATATTGAAATACACTAAATTAGCCTGGCTCAAGAAATGTCTATCCAGAATTATTATATTTCTTTATATTTTACATAACCAGGTTTGGACGATTAAACAAAACAGGACGTGACGCCCATACTTGGAACTCACAACACAGAAAGGTCAGTGGAAAGTTAGACAAAATTTTAAAAACATAGTCAGGATAAATATTCTTTTCACTTTTGTAATGTTTTGTAAATTTGGAACAAACCATCGAAACTTACTTTCTTACCAATTTACTTAAAAAATGACTCATGACATTCACATCATGCTTCTCATTGAGTTTTATCCACAAGATCTATCAATTTTCGCATACCCTGATGCTGAATTTCCATTTTCTCTTTCATAACAAATCTTGCTACGGTTATCGATATATTCCTAACAAAAAACCCAAAGTGAAAGGCCGAACAGAATATAAAGATTCAACCAATGCTCTCAGTCGAGTTTAGTTTCTGGTAAAGGAAGACCTGCCTATTCACGAAAAAAGAAATCAGTTACATATTGGATAATATAGTTGAGGGGGCAGGGTAAAGAGGAAAATACTGTACAAAATACTCTTGTGAGCAAAACTATAAAGCTTAAGGTTATGCCTGAATGAGAACACCCAAAACTAGGAAAAATGAAAAGCAATTGGAAGTAGAAAGTACAATCTAATGTAAGCTTACAGGGGATACTTATATAAAATAAAGCGGTCATTTAAGAACCCATTAGAGAAAAGGGACCTAAGACAAACTATAGCTTAGTGTTATGCTTTCTAAAATAGTGTAAATTCGGTTATTGTAGGGATAAGAGATCATTAAACCAACTTTAACATAGCTGTGACAAAGGAATGAAAAACAAACAAGCTTTAGTTAAGAACCTGTAATTCTTCTAAATAGTATATGTTGTAATGACTCATTTCAAAGATACTAAGAATAGAAATTCAGAAGGGCATACATTTTGCCACATGTGAAACAAATAAGATCTGTCCTGTCTTAGAGGTGGAGTGGAACCCTTTCCTTTAAATTCGCGGGATCTTTCATATAAAAAAATAATACATTTAAGAAGAAGCGTGTAGAGTGGTTCTTCATCCCCATTGCTTCAATTTTTGGGACGTTTCTTGTTGATAAACTTCATCTTCGTGAAAGCTCCCCAGTATAAAATAATTTGGGAGTATTGACTGCAGTGATTTGGGAGTTCTTTCCCACAAAACTGCAGTTAAAATCTGATTTTACAGCTAGAGATACTTGGTACAACTCTTAAACGTTTTCCATAAAGTTATCATTTTTTATGAGACTTTCTAGCTATTTTTAATGAGCCCTTTTTAATGAACCAAAATTCAAAGGTCCAACAGCAACTAAATATTCGCTGACGGGCCTGATTTGACCTGCGGGCTACAGGTTGCCCGTACGTACCATAATAGCTCGTCTTTTAGAGCCTGAGGCAGCCTGGTTTTCTTCGCTTAAGGTTTATTTGCCTTATTAGTACATTATAGGTACATCAACGTCAAACTGACTGCCGCGGGATATTGGGGGAAATCCATCAGTGTATGCATGAACTTGTATAAGCATGCATGACGAAAGGTTCCCTTCATTTATTCAACCCAGAAGGAAATGAGCACAACAAAGCATCAACTCAAGCAAGGCATGCACCACAAATTTTCGTAAAATGAACTCGCCAAACTCAAGATTGCTTTACAAATTTCAAAGACCTAACCTGATTGTTACCGCTGACATAAACATAAATGTAAATTTTGAAAACTTCATAACACAACACTCCCTCTTTCCACTGAAAAGCTATAGAATTGATTCTCCCTGTTCAGCCGTTTTCGAAGACATTTCTTTTTTTAATACAAAATCTTCCAAGTAAAGTAAAATCTGTTGCCATTCGTCACACCTGATTTAAAATTCCCTCTGCAGTGAGTGAGCCCCAATACATTGTTGAAAGAAGGACGATCACTTACAGTTTTCAGACCGTCAAGCTGCTTAGTCAAAAAGTTTTTGACCATAACAATTGTCTGAGGGTAGCGACAACCATGAGTAAGGGTGAAAATAGTTTTTGACCATAACAATTGTCTGAGGGTAGCGACAACCACGAGTAAGGGTGAAAATTGATGCCTCTCTCCTAACAATGCTTCTACATGCTTAAAAACATGCGGGACACCTTCAGTTGAACAGAACAATATCTGACTGAGTGGAATCTGAATGTATGAACCTGAATGATTCTGAAAACGGAATGCATTATTCACTAATAGTTACACCTGGAAAACTATGAATTGATCATTGGAAACACTTGTGGTAACAGCAGTGCAAAATATCAAAAATGGATAAAAATTTCCCCTTTTTTAGTTGTGTTTACAGCAAAAGGAAATCAGAAACTTAATTTGGCCTTCTTAGTGATTTTCAATTAAATGCTACTGCTTGAGTTAACAGCAGTGTACAGAAAAGACATTTTTCACGAGGCAGCAGTTTATACTTTATCCTTTGAACACAGCTGATTAACATAAGAAAATGCTATTCAGCATACTATCACCTCCCTCCCCCTATTCAATGTTGTGATATATGTACACTCTTTTTTTTATAAGAACAATCTTATGAGAACACGAGCCTCAAAACTGGTCAAAAGTTAAGAACAAATAAAGAACAAGCTGAGGCTGAGCTTCTGCAAATTGCAATTTTGAACAACGTTTTTTCTCAAAATCGAGGATTTTTAGCGATGTGTGGTTGCTTTTTCGGTGAATATTCAAATTTGTCAGCAAATTAAGGCTGTCTCACAAACTTTGTTGGCAAATGAGGCCTTAACACCTCCTTGGAGCGAAAAAGCTAGCAATAGCACTGCTTACACCCTCTTAATTTAAGAAAACATTAAGAACAACCCAGCCTCAGATTTTCGAAAAAATTAAGAACAGTCAACCTGAAATTAAATTTACTGGTTCTTATAAAAAAAGAGTGTATTGAGACATCAGTAACATTTAAGTAGTGATATGTAGAAAGGGGAATGATAGATGGATAAGGGGGTGTAATAGAGGGAGAAGGGGGCAGAGTCTCGGAGCCTTCGAACAGGTATGTGGAAAACTCTCGGGATCATTTTGAAGTACGGTTTCTTAGAAGAAACGATTATGTTTGTCTGCCTGTAGTGGTCATGAGCTGCAGCTGTAGTTGGTTGTTTGCTTTTGCTGTTCAAATTCGTTTTTCAATTCATTTATACATTTAATGTTGTGCAAACTGTTGTTAAAGGAAAATAAGGTTAAGAATTTTTGGATATTGAATTTAACCTGGTCTTTCAGGGCTGTCGAGTTGCTTTGTTTTGATAACCACCCGTAGCCTAAGAACAGGAATACCTGTGAAAACGTTCACCCGCCGCTTAGCTCCTCTCGAAATGGTGTATATCGAAATAAATCAAAATGAAATGCATATGACAGCTTTAAGATGAAGTTTAAATGCTGTAACATTAATTGTTTCAGGACATTTCTGTACCAAAATGTTGAATAAGCATCGATTGGATTTTTGACTTTGCACAAGAGCTAAATGGACATGGTGGCGCAGGTTTAGAATCAGAAATTCGTGGAACTTAAAGAATTATAATAAAGTCACGTCGGAGAAAGGCATGCAAGAAACTTTGAATACCGACGATGCATCGAGCACGACTAGCGCTTTCGACATAAGAGATAATTATGTGATTAAAACACAGCATTTCAACACGAAAATTGTTGATGCTTATTAAATTGTCGGTTCTGCATGAATTTCGTTTCAAAATGCGCGATTTGCGATGTCATCAGAAAGTGTTGTTGATTCTATTGTGTTTTCTAGCCATGCACAATTCACGCAAATATTCCGTGATCCACAGTTTCAATTCATATATACCAACGATACTGCAGCGAAATTACATGTTACTAAAACTAATATCAACATCACTTGAGATCGATGAGAGGCAATTAAAAGACTTGTTACAAATAAAATAGCAAGGCATAAAAAACTGGTAAACAAAATTAAAACTGCACCAAAACTTAGGTATGCCTCCAATCCTTTCTTGATCTCTCATTCTCAGAAAACTATTGAGTTACAAAAGCTATAAATAGAAGTGATTTAGAAGTTCTTTAACATTTTAAAGTTGAGGAAGGGAAGTCTTTAACAGGGAATTCTTTATAAGCTCCATCTTGAAATATAACCACAACCAACTAGATCATTCTTCAAAACTGCAGAGTAAAATTCTATGGCTATTGTCTACATTTCTCTCTAACAGGTGTCTTTGGGTTATTTGCATATTTCTATCTTACATAAATGTACAAGAAAATTGTCCCCTTCAGTTAGAGATTGTCCCCTTCAGCCACCAGCAAAAAAGTGGGTCTAACAGTAACCTTAGAATCATGTGGAAGGTATATATTTAATAAGTAGATAACGAAATAAAACATACCTTGTATAGTCATCTTTACAAAATATTTTACCAGCTTTCATATAGCATGATGTCTTTGTACCTAATTCCTGTTGACATACTGCACATTTCAGGCATGTTGGATGCCAAAAGTCATCTTTAATTCTGAGAACATATTTGTCTGATATCAACTCTGAACATTCTACACATTTGACAGTCTTTTCAGATTTCTAAAAAGTGTAAAAAGGTAAAATTACTGACCTTATAATCTTAAAATGAAAACTTATATAAATATACTTTAGTTTTACTTAATAGAAGATATAGCATAGCCTAGTAATAAGCTCTGAACACTGAAGTAAAATAAAAAAACTGACTGCAAACTACCCCCTCCCCTAAAAGCAACCCTTATATATATATATATCTGTTTTAGGAATGTCAGCCAAAAAAATTCTAAAAACTGAATAGGTAAATAAACCATGCTTACTGAAAGCTATTTTCTTGGAGTTATCACCATCAATTACAGATCTTTTTCTTCTAGATAAGAAAACACTCTCGAAAGATTTCTGAAACCCCTCTAGTAACAGCCGTGATTTCACTTAGAAGCAAACAAGAGTACATATACAAACATACAGATTTATATAAGGTATATACACGCATATAAATATATATCATTTATATATTTATATAAGTTTATGATATATATATATATTTATATTATATATATATATGAAAAGTTGATGGCAGTTAATTGTTAAAATTATCATTGCATATTATTTTCTAAATTAAAACAAATTGTTCTTCAAAAAATTAAGAGAAAATTGCATTATCATAAAAGTTTGTTTTTTAAAAATTAAACCAACACCATATACAAATGATCTGTAATTGCATTCTAAAATAAAGCATTTTTGGTGCAAAGTTATGTGATAACTGATCTGAACAAATTTTAAATTCCTTTGATATCAGCCATGCTACCTGCATATTCAAAATTCAATACAAAGATATCACAAATTTGAATCTGGGCAAACAATGGAACTGTGAGCTAAGGCGTTAGGTACCATAATAAAAATGTTTGTGTACATGTACTTTTCTGTAAATCACAAAACGTTTGATCGCAATGAAACGAGAACACAAATCATAATCAAACCTATTAGCTACCCGCTTCTTGATGGATTTAACCTACTTTACAAGTATCATTTCCTTTCTACTCCACACTATCGTCTTCTATACACAGTCTAACTTTGCTTCAATTGATGCTCCATCGCCGTTGAATTTACGATGAAAAGATTTACTCAACTGCGTGTTAATTCCCCTTCTTTTCAGAGCTTTATCCTGCCATTCATTATGCATCCTTATCTAACTGTTATTTGACTGTTTTCTCCTCTCGTTAGACGAAAACACACATTACGGTGCTTTTGCCCTTTTAATAAAATATATCACCAACCAATCAATTTTAAACGTTGGGGATACAATGTGATTATGTCTTATAAACACTGGCTTTATATAACATCACTGATCATAAATAAAATGACCATTCTTACAAAAACAAACATATCGTTAAACAATTTCACTGATCACTTGAACCAGAGCAAATTATGGTGTAATTGAGGGTTATTTCAGTTAATCAAACAGGCAACTTTGGAAGATGGCCTACATTTACGAAAACCCAACACAGCGGGGTTTTCATCCGTCTCCACCACACTCGCCATCCTACAAATCTACTTGAAATTCGACACTGTAAGTTATTATGCCACTAAGTTTAAACGGCTATACAGAATCCTTAAACAATAAGCTTCTTTTGAAGCTATGACTACTGCCAAGATCTTGAACGTTATGCACATTTTGGGCTTTGATGCTATAGAAGAAGAAAAGCAGGATACAACTGGCGTAATCTGCAACGATTTGACACAAAACGGCAGTTCACACCAGTTTAACGCATTCCCGAGTAATTTTCACTCCTTACTTTAAAATCACAAGTTTCGTGTTACTTCAACATAGTTACCGAAGCTGTTCATACATTAATTTCTTTTGTTCCCATAGCAGCCTGAATGAAAAACGGGCCTAGCTTGCATGAACTTAATAAAAAAATCGAAAATCGAGAAAAACCAACCTCTAATAACTCAGTGTCTCTTTCCTCAGAATCTTCGGTCATAACTCAACTAAAAAATGAACGATTTAAGAGCATCGGATAACGCTCTAGATCACGCATCTCTACTTCTGCACTCATGTGCAAATTTGTACGACTGGTTGTGTTTACAACGATTGGCGCCGATCTTGAATAGAAACATGCCAAGTGTCATTTAGCGCACGCAATAGAATTCCTTGCTAAATAAAGCCAACTGTTGACGATTGGTCGGATGTTTGCCTCCGACCGTACAACACCTGGAATTATTACCGGACAATCTCACTTCTGCTTTCAAGTGTTGACAGCCGTTGCAGGAAATCACTTCTCAAGAAAAACTTGGTTTGTAAAGTTCCCGCTTCAAGCCTTGGGCAACAGTGAAAATTGGTGTAAGACGCGGTGCACAGGGAACGACTGTGCTGCGTGTGCAGTGCTGTAGAACACGACACGACAAAAGCAAGCAATAATGAGTACAAACTCGATACAAAATTGCATGCAAATTTTGCAACTATTAATTTGAGAGGGCTGAGGTTGAATTTTCCAATAACGGGCTTCTGACAGGGGAGGGGCATGGGGGCTCTAGACGGGGGCTCCGACGCATGTTCGAAAGTGAAGGGGGAAAGGGCCATAACAAAATATTTTAAAAAAATGCTCTATCGTTTTGCAAAAAAGTGTGGGACTTGGCACCCAGCCCCTCATCGTCGGAGGCCCTGAAGAGCGACTCTAGCCCTCGCGAAAATTTTTATTAGCCCCCCATCCCAACTCGGGCATCCAACTTCTCTTTGTTGCTTCAATAACTTGGTTGCGACAGAATGGATTTATATGTGATCATTTGTATTTTCTTCTATGGCAAAGTAGTTAAATTAAAAATATCCAACAACTAGTAATCTTGTGGCACCAATTTTCTTTTAGAGATAGTAGGGGCGTCGCGACCGGGGGGTGTGGGGGGGTGTCACACGTATAGTATCTCAATAGGAAATGTCAGGTGCAATCCGCTTGGTGGAAGAAACGCTTTAGGTATTTCAGAGACCTTCATGTCATAAAATCAATAAAGGATCAAGCAAAGGTAGTTGCTCCGTTGGTTAAATATGATATTTCTTGATATGAATGAAGGTAAACAAACTAATGATTTGATGATTTGAAGATCTCTTGTTGGCACTAAATCGAAGAACCCAGGCCCTCTTCAGGTAAAATTGTGTCTTCTGTCCATTTCCCTTAAAGTTTCTCGATAGAAGCGTCAACTGCAATTCACTATGAGCTCTAGATTTTTTTTAACATTCAAAAGGCATGCTAAGATGGAAAGAGGGATCTAAATTGACAACAAGTTGTTACCTAGCTTTAGAAGTAACTGACAACATGGTATTTCTCAAGACCACGGCGAAATTGTGCCAGATGTTTTTATCTGTTGTTCAATAAGTTTGCAAAAAAATTATTTTCAATAGGGCTAGGAGGATTGCTTTAGTGAAATGTACTTAAAAGAGTGCGTTTTCCAGGGAACTAGAAGCATGAAAATTCGAAAAATTTCTTGCTGCTTCGGCGAAGACCATAGTGCCGCCTCGGGTAGTAACTATATCCTTTGTCCGTTTCGATATAGAGATTTTAAAGTTGCGAATTATGAACAGAGTTAAATTGACAAAATGCATTGCAGTGGTTTGTAACAGCAACTAAAGAATTTCAGGCAAAAAGTTTTCATTCAGGTAAATTTGTAGTCCACATCCCCCAACAAGGCTTGGTAGAATGTGACCAGGTGTCAGGGGCCATGCTTAACCCCAAAAGGAATAAACTTGGTAAGTCCTACCTATCTCATATGCCTAGAAAATACTACTTTTTGTGTACTGTTTTCCTACTGAATGTCATAACAAAAGCCAAGGCGAATGACATTGGAAAAAACCAAGCTTAAAAGGAAGATAGATGTTTTATCCACAATTTCCTATTACAAATTGTGGCTTCACAGATAAGCATTTCAAGGTGGGACAGAATTTCCACAAAGCAGCTAATGTGGTGGCCGAGGAGAAAGTGGCCGTGTTTATTGGCTGTAAGGCAAAATAGCAAGGGGTAAAGCTGGAAAGCTGTCAAAGAGGCATACTGTAATTCTTTTCGTGTATCAAAAGGAGTGGACAAACAATATGTACTCTTTTTTAAAAGAGCACATCTTTTATGAATTCCTGGCCTCGATTTGACAAAAATATAAGAACAGCGGTAGAACATGCCAAGCCTCGGATTGAAATAAATAAGAGCGAAAATCTTGTCTTATGGCAACAAAACAGAGCTTTTACTAAAAATTTCACGCAAAACTGGACACAAGAGCCGAAGACATTGGGTTCTTTACTCCTAAATCTTTTCCCAATTTTTCGGGTAAAGATACCCAGAGAAGAAAAATTGTTCTATTTAATTGTAGAGAAATTAACGTTGAAACAAAAAAGTACTAAAAACGCATTTACTTTAAATCATTCAAAATTATGAGAACATTGAGCCTGTCGAAAACTATGCGATCTTCGTTGTGGAGCAGCCTTCCATCCTGGATATTATTCAATGTATGACATACTATGATAATGTATGATAATCAATATAGTTCAGCAATCAATATAATAGAAAATCAATATAATTTTATGTGTGATTATAATCGGTGAATATAGCATCGGTGAATGACAAACTAGAAATGGATTATATTTGTGTGCGACGAAGAAGCAAGCATAATATTCTATGCTACAACAATTTCTTAGATAGCTACTCACGTATGCGCCAACAAACAATCATACAGTTTATATTGCATGGCTGGAATCATCTGCATATCATGGCGCAGAGAACCGGATTGGGGCTCAACGCAGATGTTTGCAATAGATCGAGATGAGATGGTTCAGTGACAATAATTTTCAAGGAAGCTATAAAGATTTTATTCAGTTCAAAATCTTAAAACAAAATTAGGGACAGGACAAGGATTACTCTGAATTTAGCTCTCAAAAAAATTTCTCGTCAAATACTGGTGAATTTACAATACATCCATTTAATGGGAAAAAAAAGATTGCCTTTAACACTTTTTCTGAGAACCAGCTAATTTTTGGAGAGGCTCGATTTTCTTACCTCTTGAATGATTCGAAGTGCGGGCGTTCTTAAAGTTATTCTAATTGATTATTTTTTTCTTTAGGCTCGCAGCACTGATTGGTCAACTACACCGGTCTTGTGCTTGTGTTTTTCTGATTGGCCTATTTCGATCCACCACTGGGTATATATTTTTCATCGTGTTATTTCGGACCCTTATTCTGACGTTTTATGCTCTGAGGAATGTCAGACGAAAAAGCTTTTAGTATGTCGTAAAATGTTTGCTTTTTTCAAAGCCATTTTCATATTGATTATTCTACAACTACATACTATGTATCGTCTCTTAGACTACAAAAAGCAGTTTTGCAAGACATTTTCGTTTATTAGTTTACAAAACATACTCTGTTTTGCTGAAACAAGAGAATACTTTAAAAACAACATTGTTTTTTCTTCACATTTTTCATCTGAGACTGGACATGTTGTTATGATGCTCTTACAATTTTGCCAAATCGAGTCTCGGTGTTTTTAAAGCGTTTGATTGAAAGTCAGTAACCAACCCTAGAAGCTTATTTCCTGCTAAGCCCTTGATAGCACGAATCTCTCCAGTTATATTCCGAGTAATGCCATATCTTTTCCACGACACAGTCTTAGCTTGGGGCAAAAAGATATCCTCCCTCAGCTTTCTGATATAAAATGGTCAAATATCTTGATAAACATGCCAGCCATAATGCTTTTTAAAGATGCCTCAATTGCTGGATCTCCTAATGCAAAAACGCTGGCAGTTGTTAGACGTTGTCTGCCATTTGGCTAGGTATTCCAACATCTTTCAGGTCTGAGGAGAGCCATATTCCTCTTTTCTTCTTCCTTTTCTTTCTTTTTTCTTCTTCTTCTACTAATTCTTTTTCATCAACATATTCTTTTCCTTTTTAATTTTGTTACCGCAAAGTTTGAAGATAGCATGAGATAGAGAAAACATTGCATACTGAAGCACATTTGTTCAGATTATAAACATTGGATAATGACCGAAAGTGAGCAGAAAACTTATATCCAGGTGTGGTTTGAAATCACGGGTATCGACAGTTAGAATTGTTGATTGGTAAGAAACAAAAAAACCAATCAAACGGATCTTTCTTCCTCTCACGTTGCCATCGATCCACACCTGGATATAAAATTTCAGCTTCGGTCATTATCCGCCGTTTGAACTCTGAAGAGCGTCGGACGAAAAGTACGTCAAAATGCTTTGTTTCCGACATTTTGTGCCATCTTCATTTGTTGTTCTTCTTTTTCTTTCTCTTCGTCTCCTTTATCGCCTTCTTCATCGTCTTCTGCTAACTATTTCCTCTTTATCAACATCTTCTTCTTCTCCTTCTTTTTCTCCTTCTTTTTCTCCTTCTTTTTCTCCTTCTTTTTCTCCTCATTTTTCTTCTTCGTTTTCTTCTTCACCCTTACCTCTTTCTCCATCTTATTCGCTATTTTTTCTTCTTCATCAACATCCCCTTTTCTTCCTTTTCTTCTTCTTCTGGCATATGTTAACTCCAACAATCATCAAAGAGTCTATACGTGCTTATATCACTAATTTCCATCGATGAGTCCAGAACCTGCAACATGATGCTTGTTATCGAAAGTGATGAAATCATATGTGAACGCCAACGAAAGAACAGAAGAACAACCACACTATGGTCTTCTCTGCCTTGCCGGCTTTCCTTGACTATTTAGCCCAAAAACTAGGCCCCAGAGCATGAGTTAGCAGCATGCTGCTTCAGTTTCTAAGTGGTATGACTACCAACTTAATGGCATGACAGTATTACTCATAAGATTTTTGCTAAAATAATTACTCGTTTTGCCGATGCTAAAATTTTGTTATGGAGGCATATTCAGAGAAAAGCTCATATAAAAGGCAATGTCAGTTCAATTACCAACAATAAAGTACCCTTAATTGCAGTTAATTAGTTCACAAAATAGAAGAAAAGCAATGACAAAAAATGTTCAGCAAGAAAAGAAATCTTGTTCATCCAACTTTTTTGAATAGCGCATCATGAATCACGAGAAGTCTTTATGCAATGGTTGTTCAAGAGGCGCACATATAGTGCCAAAATTTTTGGCGTAAATTCATTTGTATGAAATGAAATGTTTCTCTAAAAGTTTGTCACACCAAAAATTATCGTATAAACTGCGCGTGCAATGTAAGTCGACTTAAGCAACAGAAATCAAGTGATCGCTGAATATGTATTCGCATTACAAAAAGCAAACGAAGAATAAAAATGAATAGGCCTGCAAATATTTTTTCCAAAAAAAGGTGTACGTCTGAGCTAATAGAAATAACATTCAAAC